CGTCGAATCATTTGAGGGATTGTAGCATATTAGAGGGATAGTAAAGTGATTTTTTGGTATACGAGAAAGGGTCGGATTCCGGTCCGAGACACTCCTTTCATATTTTAATAACAAAAAAATTTGGTTTCTATTTAATCATTTTTTATCATTTTATCAGTAAAATCTTGTCATTTTTATACTTATTACATACATATTTCTCTAAATAATTAACCAAAAAATGACTAGCAAAAATTCTTTTAGTTAATTAATTAATTTTTTAATTCAATTTTTTATCATTTTGGAGTTTTAATTTTGTTAAATTTTTCCCTTTATGCCAAGACATGGTTAGGAATTTTTAGATATTTTTCAAATGAATCAGAAAACGTCCGTATCCGGGTTGCACGCACGAGTTGCGGAAATTGCATAAATTGCGGAGTTTTTTGCAATTGCGAGTTGCGGAATCTTTTTTTCGATTGCGTGCAGCCCTGGTCCGTATTTGCTCATGTATCCCTCGATTTTTCGACTATGTATTGTCCATATCCGTAACCAAGCTTGTTTCGACAATGTATTTCTGGCTTTTCTTCTTTAAACACATGTTTCTCCATTTAAACTCTCTCGAGCTCCTTCATTTTCCTAAAATCTTAGACCCTCCCGAATATTTCTTACCTCGTTTACACTTATCCTTCACACATTTTCACTCTATAATTTTCACTATATATGAATATTCCCTCAAAATTTACACAATTTTATATTTATAGGATCTCCGAACTTTAGCTTTGCACCAGCAACTTTCTACGCTGATGCAGCAAGCACAATTACAGCAACAACAACAACAACCGGCAGTATCACAATCTCAACAACAACAACAACAACCCTCATTATCTGCCTTTTTACCATTAAATCAACAAATACGTCAACAACAACAACCAGCCCCATGTTCATCTGCTCAACTTCAACAACAACAAACAGCTCCAGGAGGGTCGTCTTTACTTGGAATTTATCAACATTTGCTTTCATTACAAGCACAGCAGCAACAACAACAAACGCCTACTGTTGCTGGACTTCCACAGCAATTTAGCAATGCTTTACATTTGGTAAGAGAGGAGAGATTTTGAGATTTCAAGTTGCACTTTCGAAAGAAGTGTGGAAGACTAGGCTTAGGATTATAACTGCCCTCATGACTCTATCATATACCATAGATGTCCTGGGTGAGAAAATGTCGGGATCAGGGGTTCACAATTTTCTTTGAATCGGGTCTCGGGTCGGAAAAGATGAAAGAGAGACATCCCTGTCAATCTCCCATATCCATTTAACCCTCTCTTATTGGTAAAGAATCAACTAAAAAGTCCTTGTGAGTGAACTTTCTTTATCGGGTCGGAAAAGATGAAAGAGAGACATCCACGTAATATCATCCATATCCGTTTAAGCCTCATTTAGTGGTAAAGAACCGACTAATAAAGTCGTTGTGAGTCAACTTTATTTATCATTCTTTAACTCATTTCAGCAAAATCCCTCTCCAACTGCTTCAGTATTACCACCACAATTGGGAGGAGGTGTTCCCTCTGCTCAATCAGCTAATTCAGGAAGCACAGCCGGACTTTTAAGTACCTTGCTTGCTTCAAATCCAGCCTTGTTGCATTCTTTACTTGGTCAACAGCAACAACAGCAGCAACAACAATTGGTTGCTTTAGCTGCTCAATTGCTGCTTCCTACTGCAGCACAACAACAGCAACAACAATCACAACAATCCTCCCTTTTACAAATGTTAAACCCTACAACCCTCTATGCTTTTGTTAATTATTTACAACAGCAACAACAAGCACAACAACCACCCCCAGTTAACCAACAACTTCAATTACTCCTTCAATTAGCTTCTAATGGAGGTGGGAATGTTGGGGGAAATACTGGAGGTTTACAAGGATTGTTGGCCTCGCTAAGTGGTAATCAACAACAAGCATTGTTAACTGCTTTAGCTGCTCAGCAAGCACAGCAGCAACAGGTAGCTTGCAAATTTCCTTGAAATCTAATAACCCTTTCTCTTTATAGGAAGCAACTACTCAACAGCCCCCACCACCCCAATTGCACCAACAACCTCCTCCTTCCCTCCAACCTCAACAACCCGATGAGAATCGCCTTCTACTTGAGCATCTCATACGTCAAAGTCGCGAGGTTCAGCAACAACAAAAATTGATGCAGCTTGAAGCTGTTGCTGCCGCTGGTAGGCCACAAACATTTGTTGGAAGTGAACAGATTGACCACTCCACACCAGCTACTCTTTCTCCCACAATAGGAGGCTCTACAGCTTCTGAAGTACTTCCTGCTCCTCCCCAACAAGTACAACAAACCTCTGCTGAAGTTCTTGCTGTACATCAACAACAACAGCAGCAACAGCACGAAAATATTGGAGCATCTATTCATTCTCAGATAAATGCAGAACAACAAGAGCAGCAACGACAAGGGCAGGGAACTCCTAACGAGCGTTTAATGACTTCTGAGGCTGTACAAGATAGAATATCGCGGTAATATTCAAAAATATTTCTTCTTATTTATCTAATATATAGTCTAATCAGCGAGAATGAGGCTATTCTTGAACCTAACCCTGTTCTCTTGAAAAGAAGGCCATATCAAAGACAGAGCACTTCGAATTCCATGACTTCACAAACGTCGGAAAATGCTGGTAATGCATAAATTATATGAATTTGCTTTCCTATCATTCGGATTGTTTATTGGAGGTTTTAGAGAGGTCTCACTTTAAGGGACAATCGTGAGTGGCCCTTATGGAAGCCTTTCACCTAGAGGCTTAGGCTCTTCTTCCAAAGTAGAGAACTCTTCCAAAGGGGAGAGATTAGGAAGACGAACTCCTTTGGGTTGATGGAAGCCTTTTACTCAGAGGCTTAGCTCTTCTTCTAAAGGAGAAGAGCGCTTCCAAAGGGGAGAGATTTGGAAGACAAACTCCTTTGGGTTGTTAAGGTATCTTTCTGGGGATCATTCAAAAAGTGAGACTTACCTAACACACGTTTCACAGATACACTAATCTTAAAGATCAATCCACTAATCTATTTTTTCCACAAAAAGGTACTTCACAACGAGGATCACCAGGCATTCGCTCACCTGGACCCAAACATCATCCAGCCACAACTCGTTCCTATTCACTCCATGAAACTTCATTTCTTCGTTTTGGAGGAGGTTCCCTAACTTCTGGCCAGCCTATCAATCGTCAACAACTTTCCCTTCAACCCCAACCTTCTCATCAACATTCCCAACAATTAACTTGCAATTTTTGTCATTTAAAATTCCCCAATGAAGCTGGTCTTGAAGCACATGAATTACGTTGTTCAAAGAAGGATTCAAATTCTTGTACCAATCAAATTCTTCAAAAACAGCAAAGCCAGCCACAATTAAAAATGGTTCATCAACAAAGACAACAACAACAGCAGCAACAACTTCAATTACAATTACAACAATTACAAGACCATCAGTCTACTATAGCTGCACTTGTTGGTGGGGGAAAAGGTGTTGCGAGAGATTTGGTGATTAATGGAAGTGGTGGAGGACGTTCTTCTGTATGTTAGAGAAAAAGATTTTTAACAAAAAATGTCTAAAATTCAGTTAAATTTATTAATGGGGGGTATTTTCTCTCAAATTACAGTATCCTTTTGGGATGTGCGCCAACTTTTTATAGTTCAAACGCCAAGAATTAAGATTAGAGTTTTGATGCTTTATTGAGCCCAAATTGAGCCTAACCGAAATATTTTCCTTATAAAATAACTAAATTTAATTTTACCTCTATATTACGCACACCCTTTATTAGAGCTAATTGGGGGTATGCCTTGTTTACAGATTTGTAATTAAAATCGCTTGGAGTTATCCACATTTTTTATCATTTCTTATAGAGAGAAGAATGTGTGCGTAATATAGAGGTGTATATAATTTAGTTAAAAAATAATTTAGATAATTTTTAAAAATTATTTTTCTTTCTTCTATAGGTTCCTTCACTCATTCAACAACATTTTTCCAAACAACAAAGCAACGTTTCCCAACTAGTAACTTCAAGTTCATCAGATTCCCGTTTAAAGAAGCGAGGATTAGACCAAGATAGTGGCAGTTGTGGCAGTGGGACAGATTCTTTAGAAATGCTTTACGACGTCTCTAATGGTGGAAATGGTAGTGAACAACAACAACAACAGCAGCAGCATGGAGCTGAATCTTCCAAAATGGCACGAATTGTTAGTAATTCATCTCCTCCCCCACCTCCTCTTACTTTATTTTCTAATTCTAATAATACTCCTCCCTCAACTTCTGGGGAAGAAACAAACAAAAGCAATAATTAATTATATTTTTCTCTGACTCTCTCTATTTTCCCTTATATTTCTTTTTCTCTAACTTTAATTTTTTTATTTTCCAAAAATATTTTATCTCTTAAAATTATTTTTTGAGCTTATTAATTCTGCTTTAGCTTTTCTAGCTTTACATATATTTTTTGTTTTTTAACCTCCAATAATCCTTCCTTTTTGTATATCTCCCTTTAATAAATACCATATTTCTCTAATCGAGCGGCCGTTTGGGCACTTGGTGGGAAAAGACGGTAGTTAAGGAGCCCTTCTCACTTGTGCCATATGGCAAATATGTGGTCCAAGTTAACTTTGGCAGTATGTTAGAGAATAAGTTTGTCGGATAGTTGGGCATCTTCAGATATCCGTATCCGATATCCGTGCCGAAAATTTTCCGGATATCCGGCATTTTTCGGATCCGGATATCCTGATCTTCCAACTTTATTAGAGAAATATGTCATCTCTTTGTTTTTTAAAATAATTTTCTTTTAAAAATTTATTTTTTTCTAAATTAATCTTCTAAAGTCTAGATGCTCTCCTCCCGGTAACAACAACTTTAATATTCTAATTTTAATTCAGATCTCTAAAAAAATATTTTTTTTTAATTCTCAGTTATTTTTTTAAAAATCTCCTTCATTTACTTTATCAAATTTTCCATACTTGCCCTAGAGCAGCGTGATATAATATAAATTTATTTTTTATATTCCCAGTGATCTCTCTCTCAAAAAAAATTTTTTTCCCTCCATTTTTATCTCAATTTTCTTCTATTTTTTTGTTAAATTGTTTATTGTTTCTCTCCAAAATGCTATATAATTTCTTCTCAATTACAAAAATATTTTTTTCAAAAAACAATTCTCTCTTACTGGCCGAGCCAAAATTTAAAAAATCAGCTTCTTCCGTCCTCTGCTTCACGCTGCTCTAGCTTTTATAGGTATGTTCTTATTCTCTTTTACTAAAAAATTATTCCTTTAAAAATTTCAAAAAAAATTTTTTTTCAAAATTTTTCCTTTTTTTTCCTTTTTTTGTAATTTTTTTGTATTCTTTTGTTCTATTGTTCTTCCATTCCAGCACCACCACTTTCCTTTTTTTTTTCGAGTACACAGCAATATTTTGTAGGGCTTTATAGTAGAGTTTCACTGGAAGTTCCAGTTCCGGAAAGTTACGGTGTTTTTTGGGTCCGGTATGGGAACCGAAACTCAAATTTGATTTGGTTCTGGTTCCGGACAAAATTTCGGTTCCGGTGAAATACTACTTTATAGGCGAGAGACTTTAAGAAGCATCAGTTACATTGTAAATATTTTGGACTATCAACAAGCATCATTTTGGATCTGAACTTAACAGATATACCACATACAGATTAACAATATCCAAATCTAGACTATCAACAAGCACATCTTTTGGTTCTGAATTGAACGATCTACCTTATAAATTAACAGATATTAACCATATATATTAACAGAACCCAATGTCGAGGCTTTTGAGTAGGCTGCACTTATTTTCCTGTTCCCATACTTTTTAATTTTAACAATTCTTGTGTTTGTTATTTGTCAATTTAATTTTTTTCTTGTTTTAACATTACTTTGTAGCCTAAAAGCTTTTTTTAAATTTTTTATGACTCATTTTTTTGTTATTTTTTCTTTTTTTAATTCACTTACATTCTTTCATTTTTAAAAAAATATTTTTAGCACAAAACGAGGTTTTATAAAATCATGAAAAAATATTTTCCCTTTTGATCTTTGAGTTAAAGAATTTTTTAAAATTATTATTGTAGAGACTTGCACCTCTATTTTTAATGGAATTATACAGATTATTTTTTAATGCCTTTGCAGGGATGAATCGGTTCAGAAAAAAAAATCGTGTCTCGGATTTGGGCAGGATTTCCAAACATTTGGGCGGGGCGGGGTTCTTGTTTCAGATCGGAAAATGCCGGATATTGAGTTTCAAGTAGCTCGATCCATTCCTAGCTTTCGATTGAAACGTTTAGAAACTTTTAGTTTTCATTTTTCTGAAACAAAATAGGTAGATATGTCTGTCTCTGTGAACATTTAAAAAAAAATTTTTTACCCCAAAATCTGAAAGGGATCATATTTTTTTAATTTTTTAAAACCTTGTTTTGTCTAGAAATATTGAGGGAGGCTCTATATCCTTTAAATTTTACCAAAAATTAAAAAAAAATTTTTATCTTTTTTTAAACAAAAAATTTAAGGATGACATGTATTCTATGGAAATACAGCAACAACAAGAACATATCCAACAAAATATCCAACAAAATATCCAAACAAATATTCAAAAAGACCAACAACATTCCCAAAATTCCCCAAAAAATCACCATCACCAACAACAAAAAGCTCAGCCAATTTTAACAATGCGAGATGCAATTATTTTTGCCATTACATATTCCACAGATCTTTGCTCAACAATTAAAATGCCCTACTTTTTAACTTTAACACAAAATGAATTACAAGAGTTGGCAACAAATGGGGGAGAACAGGGGAATGAAATTAATAATGGGGGTGGGGCTGGAAGTAGTTGTAATATTCGAGGAAGAACGAGAAATATTACTAGTGGTAAATAATTATTAAAATTTTGGGGAAAAATAATTGTTTTTAGAGCCTTGAGATTAGGGTTGTCGGATAGTTGGGAATCCTTGGATATCCGGATCCGATATACGAGCCGAAAATTTCGGATACCCGGATCAGACGACCGTACTTGAAATATTTTCTATTTTTAATTGTAAACTTTCCTTGGGGAGTTTTTCGTTATCTTAGCTTAACTTTGGGGACGATTTTCAAAAATCACATCCTTTAATTGGCTGGATACTGTATATGGTTCAGGCATCTATTCTTGGGTGCTTTAGTAAATGAGCTTTAAGTGGCCTCCAATTTATTTTTAAATCAAAGGGAATTAGATTTACCTTTAATCTAAGGAAATTAGTGGGTATTATTCACTTCTTTAAAATTCTTTAACCAATAATTTACTCGATTTTCATTAACAAAAAAAATTTTTTTTCTTTAGAAACTTTCATGTGTTTAAACAAAGTTCGTCCAACACCAAACGAACATAGAGACAACTGTTCTGCCTACAGTTTTTGGACTCCCTCAGAATGTTCTAATGGAGAATCCCAATTAATCCAGCTTCTTTTGTGTGCCACAAATTCATTTTCTGCCCCATGGCAAAAGAGAATATGTCCATTAGGGTCTCATTACACGTTAGCTGCTAATAAAGAAAGTATACAATTGAGAACAACACATTCCTCTTTTTGGGGGCAACAACAGCAACAACAAAAGGTGAGAAGCGGAAACAATCTAAAGATGCTAATACGAAATATGGTTGTCCTAGGTTATAATTAGAGTTAGGGACAGATATCACTCCCGCGGTACTCAGAAAATATTGACTCAGTACTTTTCTATAGTCCCTTATAGGGGTATTGGAAGAATCCATTTGCCTAACACTAGTTATAATATCACCATATTAACCAGGCAACTGTAGATCAGTTGATATTTTGAATTAGTTAGAATTTATATCAAGTCCTAGTGTCCTAGTGGCTGTTATTCAGTACCGTTCTACTTATACGGAATACCGGTAAATAATGAAAAATACGTCCGTAGTCTACTACCTATCATGATTCTAGTCGATCCGGTTCCCAAAAATCTGGAATTTTTTTTCCGGCTTGACCTCCTAAGTAAATGAGAGATAATCCCTGTTCAATTTTTTATAAAAATAATCTTTCAAAATTTAATTTTTGTTTTTAGATTGCTCAACAACAAACAAATAATACAATTTTCAATCCTCAACGGCAACATTGTGATGATTTAATGATTGAAAGAGGAGGAGGGTTAATTAAAAACATTCCAAAGAATGAAGATATGGAAGAATTATATCAATTAGAGAATTCACAAATTATTAAAATGGAGTTGGTAAAAATAAAATAGAGAGAATTGGAAGATATTCCTTTTAAAATATGGTCAACTCTCGTTATTAGCGACTTGACCCTGCAATGATTTATCTCGATATAAGCGACTTTTTCTTGTCGTTAATAATGGGAGTTGACTAGGAAATTGGCCAATCCAAAGTTCCTTTAAGTGCCAATACCTTATTCTTTCTATTAGAGAGGCCCTCTCCAATTGAGGGTCACCCTGAAATCGTTCCCTTCTATATAAACGTCTTCTTTTTTGTCTCTTATAATGAGAGTTGATAGAAAATTAAGCAAACTTGGGTTTCTTTAGGTGCCTATACTTTATTCCTTTTATTAGAGAGGCACTCTCCAATAGAAGGAACATTTAGTTAATTTACTTTTGGTCAACGGCTTCCATAAGTAATTCAATTTTTTTAGAACTGACGATAAAGAAAATGGAAGTTTACAACAATCAGCTCCATTTTTGCCCTCAAAAATGGATGAAGAAGAAATAAATACAAAAATAATTACAACAACAGATAATTCAATAAAGCTTTTAAAACTTCCACCTAATGCTACTTCTAAAGGAGGAGGAGGATTTGGAGGAGGAAAATATTCTTTTAATAAAACGAAGACAAATATTAACGAGGAAGTTCCGGTGTGAAATTAATTTATTTTTTGTTTGATTAATATAATGAAGGGATATACCGTATTTACTCTGGTAATTCCCCAGGGGGATTATTGTTTTGACCCATCTCTAGGGTGGGGAATTAATAGAGACTGGGGAATTAATAAAGACTGGGGGATTACTAGAGTACCGTAAATGCTCGAATAGTTACCCTCTCTCAAATAATTGCCCCCTCTCAATTAATTACCCCATGTAGCGAGAGGTTGAAAAAATAATTACCCCTCCTAAAAATAGTTATAATTAGCCTGTTTAAAAAAAGCTCAAATAATTACCCCCTCTCAAATAATTACCCCGTCTAGCGAGAAGTTGAAACAATAATTACCCAGGGTAATTATTCGAGCATATACGGTAAATACGGTATGCACGGAGACGGGATTTCTTTGATCAGTGAACGTGGAAAAAAATTTATTTCATTTTGGGAACAACTGAAAGTTAAAAGAACACCCTTAATACCTAAATACTCTAGGTATTAGGGTTGTGCCAGATTTGATCTTGAAAAGCGAAGGGCGAATATCGGTGAAGGGCAAAGGACAAACTTCAGTAACCTTAACTTCCAGGGAATTCAGTAACCTTAACCTTCATGGTTACTGAAGATGTCCTTTGCCTTTTGCCTGCCCCTAAATTTAAGTTGATAAAGTTTACACACCTCCCTGCATTCCTGTCGTTTTCCTAATATTCATTAAGATAGTTTTTTGAATTTTTATAGCCACGGGGACTAGATATAACCAATTTTATACCTAGAGCTATTTGCAGTTTAGATATTGTTTTCTGATTCTTATTCCAAATTTACAGATTTCAACAACTCAAGCAATGGTTCAGGTTTACATACGAGGTCGTGGACGTGGACGTTATGTTTGTGAAAGATGTGGAATTCGTTGTAAAAAGCCTTCCATGTTGAAAAAACATCTTCGGTAACCTCCTCCTAATGTTGCCTAAAAATTAAAAAAATTCTCTTCTAGTTCCCACACAAATGTCCGTCCATTCACTTGCATGACCTGCAATTTTTCTTTCAAAACAAAAGGGAATTTAACAAAACATTTGGTTTCAAAAACTCATAAACGTCGAATGCTTGATTCAAATAATGAAGAAACAATGCAAGGGATTAATACAACAAAATCTTTATTGGAAAGAAATTATGGAAATGAAGAAGAAGAGGAAGAAGGGGGGAGATTGGTGGTTGTGGAGGAGGATGAGGAAGAGGACAACAACAACAACACTAACATCCCTACAACTTCTTCTAAAGACCAGCAACAACAACGCTTGGAACGTATACAAGAACAAGAACAAAGAATGCGTTGGGAAGAAGAAGATTGGGATGATGATGATGAAGAAGACGAAGAAGATTGGGGGTTGTTAGTTGACCATACTCCTCAAAAAGATGTGGTGCCACCACCTCCACCTCTAAACTATAGACATTTTGGGCAAGAAGTAAGGGAGAAAAAAAATTTTTGGAAGGGGGGATTTAGTAGGTTGAACGGGATTACTAAATGGGTACAAAATCCTGCTTGTGCCACTCTAATGAATATTATAAAAATAAGTTTTGAAGGATAATTTTAGAAGATATTTGTTAAAAAGGATGTTTGTCCTCTTGAACATTTTCCTCTCATAATTTTTATCTCCACATTATTCATGCCTTTATAGGTCAAAACATTTCTCTTCAAGTCCCCGGGGTTTTTCCCTTTTCTAGTTAAATCTCAATATAATGCTAATTGACTTGAACTGATTTACAATAGGTCAGTTGATATATCGAGTATCTCTTTTTTGAGGTTAATTGGGAGAGACTGGAAGCCTAATTTCACATTTCCTTATAAATCCAAGTTAAGGAGACCTACCAAATTTATAAAATTAAATATTCTTATTTCAGAATATTCTCGTGGAGCGTGAAACTCACACCCCTCCAACTCTTTGGACTCGTACAGATTGTTTCGGCACTTTAGCAGCAGCAGCTGGGGGATATACAGATGTTAGCGGTGATGAAGAACCCGAACCTTTAGATATGGGTTGGCCTCCACAAGATTCAGAAAGGATATGCCAATCAGCACCTCCATCTGCCCTTCTATCGCCTGGAGGCCGTTCAAGAACTAAACGGAAAAAGAAGGGGAAAATAAATAATAGCCAGGCAAATGTTTCTGATCTGAAAACATCTCCAACAAAATTTGAATTTTTACATCAGGTGTGTGGGGTGTTTTTTAAAAGTCTATTCTGATTTATTAATATTCTACACATTCATGACCCTTTTTTATTACAATACATACGTTGGCAATTTGCAATTCGGAAGTTTTCATTTCCCTACAAAAATTTTTTTGATCAACCTATTGACAATTTTCTACGGGTTGCGGTATCAAAAATCCAAAAATCCCTTATGTAGTTGATCTGATATAATTCAGAATGTGCTCATTGATCCCTTATATTTTCTATTATCACTCAAATTTATTAGTATCACTATTTTAATATGTTATTAGAATGCAAGCAGTATTTGGAAGCTTCCAAAATTCATACTCGTACCTGCGTATGAGTAAGACAAAAAATTAAGCAGGCACGAGTAGGAGTATGATTTTAAATTTCCATACACTGGATTTTAAACATAGGCAATTTTTGATTAGGAGCTCTAGCTTCTATCCTGTTCAGTCTTAAATTTTATTAAATAATTATTCGAGAAATTAAATATTCTCAGGATTCTCAACAAGATTTATCTTCACCTCCAGTAGACCATCAACATCAACATTCTTCCCTAATTAATCAACAACCTCCCCCAGCATTAGCTAATTTCATTCCTTCAATATCAGAACAACAACAGCAACATTCCCTTCAACAAAGGCAACAACAACAACAGCCTTCTTTAGCTGCCCAATTAGCTGTCGGTTTATTACAAGTCCCTCCATTTAATAATCAACAGCAACAAACAACTCCAATAGACTTGAGACAATCCCAATTTCAAGCCCAACAATTTTATTTCCAACAAATTAGTGAACAACAACAGCAGCAGCATTCTTCTGCCTTTGCACCTCCAATATCTTGTACTAACAACGGGAATAATGGAAATAATTTTGTTTCTGCTTTAAAATTTCTTGAATGTCATCAAATGAATGTTGGGGGAACTCAACAAATTATTGGAGGAGAAAATGAGAATAATAATGGAGGAGGAGGTAGATTTTTAATACTGAAAAAATATTTTTTTCTGTTTTATGGCATTTCCTATGGGACTGGGCCGTTTTGGCGCGGGGCCGTTTTGGCGCGGGGCCGTTTTGGCGCGAGCTTATAAGATAACGAGTTCGTTATCAAAAATGATAAAATTTTGCAATAATAACTCTCGCACCTTTATCTAAGTTCTCCAAAAATTTCAGAATTTTTGATCAAGAATTTCGGAAATTGTGGCCAAAAATGTTGATTTTCTGCAAACTGCCTAATTTTTCGAGGTCTGTCGACTATAACTTCGGAAATATTTGATGAAAAATTCTGAAATTTCTTGAGGAGGTAGTCAAGGATGTTAAAGAAATTTGAGAAAATTTTTATGAAGTTAGGTCTCGCCTAAGTACCACTTTTTTGTTCTCGCGCCAAAACGGCCCGGCGCCAAAACGACCCCAACCCTTTCCTATTGGAAACCGTCCTTGGAGTGTCGTACGAGAATCGGGATCAAGTTCTCGAAAAAATCTCGATTCTCGATAACTGAGATTTTCGATTAAGATCTAGCCTCGGTCCGGTCTCTATTACCTACCATGCTTTTATTTTGATACTAGTGAGAGATTCGAGAAAGTGATCTTATTAAATAATCTCGGTTATTAAGCAAGATTATTTGAATATTGATCACTGTCAGAGAGCCGAATTGATTGAGTTTTTCGGTTCGGTTCCAGATATCCAAAAATTCTCCAAGAACTGACTAGTTGACATTTTTTGAGAATGCCTTATTTTTATATTTTCCCTTAAGTACCCTTGCCATAAAGTTTAAGAAACTTTAGTAGAAAAAAACTTTACTATAAGAAATATTTCTTTTCATAAAATAAAAATTTAGATTCATTCCCTACAAGAGGACCTCAATCAACATTAGAAGCATTCCTTGCCACAGATATCCAACAATTTCATTGTGACATGTGTGACCGCAAATTTCGTAAAGAATCAGAACTTTTATTACACAAACAAACACACTTAATTGAAAGAAAACAGAAAAATAATTTTTCTTCAAATTCTGTTAATAATTCATTTCAATGTTCTGAATGCCCAACAGTTGTTAGGTCAAAAACAATGTTGAATAGACACACGGAAAGTGTTCACGGAAGGAGTGTGAATTTGGAACAATTAAATAATGGGCAAAATTTGACTTCTCAAGTTCAGAATATTGGTGAGAAAAAATTTTTTGAACTTGAAAGGAGATCTTTATGATTAGAGACCGGGCTGGGAGTGTCGTACAAGAGTGAAAAATTCTTGAAAAATTCTCGATCTCGATAACCGAGATTTTCGATCGATATCTCGTCCCTGTCCGATACCTACTTATGATCCTTGTGATGATCGGGCACTTATAAATCTGTCTTATGAGTAGCTACAGACTTGAAATTTTGCATTTATATTATTATGTCTTGTTCATCTTCACTGAAAATTTTAGAATTTTTACTTTGTTATCTCAGAAATTATTGATAAAAATGTTCCTATACATTAACGTGTTATGGGATATTTTCTGCCATGACTTTTAAAATATTTAACTAAAAATTTTGAAATTTTTACTGAGGGTTAATAACACTCTTTGGTATATTTATGCACAATTTCAAGTAACTAGGGTCGCGTCGGAGAGATTTATATTATTTAATATCTGTCCTTATCCTATTTTCTTATTCATATGTCTTCCTAATAAATTCTAAAATTTAATTATTTTTTAAAGGCCCCCCTCCTTCATCCTCACAACAAATGCTACCTCCACAAACAAATCCAATACACAACAACCATTTACGCAATTTTCTCTGTACAGATTGTAATGTTAGCTTTCGCTCTCATGGTGTTTTAGCCAAACATTTGCGATCTAAACAACACGTAAAAAATGTAAAGAATTTTTGAAATTTTCGTTAAAAAATTTATTCAAAATTTTATAGTTAGTTACACTTGGAAAGTTGTCAGAAGATGCCAATTCTTTATTAATTCGCGATCATAGCAAAGCTTTGGGAAATATAGACGCAAGCAATTGTGAGAAGGCGCTTAACTCTACTAAAGGTGTGAATTGAAAAAATTCTCCTTATCCACTTAAGCTTAAATATTTATCATAGCATTCAGTAAATATTCAAGACTGGATGTCTGATGAGACTAGATTGACCCTTTAGTGGTAAATTACGGGAAAGATTTGGAAATTTGGAAGATAAAGGAGTAGATATTTATCTCCTATGTGGCCATAATTAGGCTATTCTACTTGAGGACACACAATTACCCTGCTATTAGGGTTGTCGGTTCTGGACCGAACCGAACCAAACCGAAAAACCACTGATTTTTTGCTTCGGTTCTTAGGTTCGGTCTCGAATATCCAAAGAATTTCAAGGAACCTCTAACCCACAATCGCCCCACCTTCATAGAGAAATTTCTTTTATATCGATGAGTTATCCTTATATGTATTATTCGGAAGAATCTATCCTCTCTTTTCTATCCCTATTTTGTGTTAACCCCAGATATTCTTCCCTTACACAACAAATTTTTTTCAGAATTATTGAATAAAATGCGGGAGCAGCTGGGTATTGTTAGTGATAATGCTACTACTGCTTCCTCACAACAATCGAGTAATGGAAGTTCACAAAAGACAACAACAGGAAACTCCCCAAGGATTATTAGCAGTATGGGAAGTACAACACATAAACGTCCAGCAGAACCTTTAGTGCATGGATTGAAAAGGAAAAGCAACGATTTGTAGGTTTTTATTTAAAAAATTTTTTTGAAATTTATTCCTATTGATAAGTATGTATTTCTTTCAAATTTTTCAGACCGAACAGCGAGGATTTTGGAGGGAGACCTCAAAATCCTCAACAAAATGCTACAACACCTTCTCCACAATTAAGACGTGATTCTTTTTCTTCTCCGTCTCCGCAAAGGCCAAAATACAGTCGAGATGATTTGGCACATCAAGTGGGATATTTTCTTGTTTTTTAATTTCTTTCTCGTTTCTTTCCCCTCACAAGAATTCCCTTATGCAACTTATTGTTAGTGTGGAGATTCTCAATACTTAGAGAGCCCGGATATCCGAAGCGAAAATTTCAGCTATTTTATCTGGACTTCGTATATCCGAGCTTTTTTTCGGATCGCGATCCGTCAGCATTAATGCAGACCTCGTCCCCTTAACTTTGCCCACTTTTTCCTCAGTTCACCCACATCTTCGTAATCACTTCTACCACCATCTAAATTTATAAAAATTTATTTTTTCAAGTCTGAATCGCCTTTACATTCACTTGCTCAAGTTGCTGTTGCAGCTGCGGCAGCCGCTGCTGCACGTCATCCATCTCCTTCTACATCTTCTCATCCTCATTCACAACAACATTCATCTTCACGTATTGCAACAGCAAATGTTTGGGTACCCCCAAAAGTAGAACAATTACAGCCTTGTAATGCTGGGGGTGTTTCTCCAATGTCTACCATTGATGCAAGAAAATCTGTTACCCCTGAAATGCATCAACATAATGGATTGATAGCTAATGATAGATTAGGATGTTGGTCTTTACAACTTTAAAATTTTTATTACCCATTATAAGTCCCAAGTTTAGGGGGTTTTAGTAGTCTGCCTGGGCCACTTTCGAGTTCGGAAACAAATTCTGATATCGTCTAAAAGCACCAAAAATTTTTTTATTTGACTTCTACCTTCCCCTATTCAATTAAGCATATCAGTCTTTTCTATACTTTTGGCATATTTCCTTACAAATTAAAAGCTACCCAAACCAATTCATAATTAAATTTTAAAAATCCCCCTAAAATTTCAGCAATGCTTTCAAACCGCTCAGCGGAAGAAACTAGCGAATCTACTGGTACTCGAAGTGAATCAAGCACTCCAGTACAACGTAATGTTTGTCAACAACACCCAGGATTTTCACCTATGCCTGCCGCTACACGTTGCCAACTTTGTGATTTAAATGTAACTTAGACTCCTAAAACCCCTAAAAATTTCCTTATTTTCAAGTTTGACTCACCAGCACAACTTTCTGTTCATTTCCATGCTGATCACATTCTAATGCGGCATGGAAGGGATTTTCGCTGTTCTAGACGTAATTGTGAAAAAGTGTTCCCTTCGAGAGAGTCGCTAAGAGCTCATATTTATGCGCACTTTTTTGGCGGATCTGATGGAAGGGAAATTGATAATCACCTTCAGGTACTTTCTTGTTTAAAGGAGAGTACTGACACCTATTTTTAAAATATTTGGTTATTTAATTCATATATGATCAAAATTTTTGAGATCATGTTTATTTCATTTATCTTAACTTACTCTCATTCTACCAATTCCTCTTTCTTTCATCGGGTTACGGTAGTTTGATTTACCTAAGTATTTTCTTCCTTATTTTTTTTGTTTGTTTTCTTGTGAATCTTCGGATAGCCGGAATCCGGAACTAACCGAAGAATCCCGAGTTCTTCCTACTGTTGGGAATAAGCTTTGCCTGCCAACTTCCCCCTCTCTTTTGGCTAGGCGTTCAACTGCTTGGTTAGGCGTTCAACTGCTATTTCTATTACTGAAGTTATGCGCTGGACCTTCCCGGTCCAGGCACCTTCAGAGCGCCGAATGTGTATGGGGGAGATTTGGGATGGTGAGGCGCAGAGGACTAAACGAATAATTAAAGACTAATTCATAATATTTATTTCCATTTAAAATACAATTAAATGGGTAGTGTTTTTAATAAGGGATTAATTGATGGGGGCAATAACATGGACATTAATATTGGGATTGAATAATAAATTGAACTGGAGATGAGGATATAGTTAAGTGATTAAATAGAGGAGAAAGTGGGTGGGATATGACAAAGTTGATAGGACAAAATGTGTCTGGGAAAGATGGGAGGAAGTGTATAAAGTTGTTGACAAAAGGATAAATGTAATTGTGATTTATGTTGGGAACGGAAGAAGATGAACAATATATGAGAGAAAAGAGATAAAGTGTAAAGATAGGCTGGGAAGGAATAAATGGAAGATAAATATAAACAACTATGGGAAATATTCGGGGTCGGGACTTGATGAAAAGGGCAAGTATCGAGTCTCGAGTCTTGGGGGTAACATCTCCCTGCCGCCAATAAGCGCGACCCTGCGCTTATGGATTGTTGGTTGGTTTTTTTTGGAGGGGAAAGGAAGATTGAGTCTGATGGTGGTTTTTTAGTCCGCCATTAAAATTTTCCTAATTTTCAGTTAAGTTTGGATCAAATGTTGGGTTTTGAGTCCGACATTTTTGGGAGTTGGTTTTATTTTTGTTTTAGCTATTCTAGTATTTTGTTTGTAGAGCCAATGGAGGTGTTAGGTAAATGGTGGATTTTTAGGCCGCCATTTTGGATTTGTTAGATTTAGAAATGATGGTTGTCTATTCCGTCATTTCTTAGGCATTTGGGTGGATGTTTATTTGTAAGTTTCACGTTGGGTTGGTGATCAAATGGTGACTTACTTATTTAGCACCGTTTGATTTTTATTGGAAGGGAATTTTTTGTTTTAAGGATGATTTAATTCCCTGTTTTTAAAGACTCGATACTCTGAATATGGTAGAAATGAGTGGATTTGAGATAATATACAATTGATTTGATAGAAATGATAAAATGTGGACTATTTGAATAAAATCACAAAATTTTAATGGTTTTATTTCATATGTTATTTCTTTGATTTGACTTCTTTTCGATCATCTATTGCACTTCGCGTGGCTCAATGTTCAGTCATTAAAAGTTCAACCATTTAATGTTGTCTTGATAGTTGGAGTTAATCGAAAAAATATGCGTTTATCAATAGTTGTTTTGTCGTAGTTATTGATAAAGTAAAAATGATTCATTTGAATTATATTATTTTTTGAATAATAGAATTTTGTTGAATAAGTTGAAAATAGAATTTTGTTGAAAATTTTGTTGAATAATTGCGCGGAATTTTTTGGATTAATAAAGGGAAAGTGGAAGATTGTGGAAAAAAAATTTTTGGAAGTGGAAAATTGTGGAAATGGAAAAGTTATTGGAAAATGTTTTTAGACAGCGGAAACTCGTTAGTGTGGAATCTACTTGTCTTAAGGTTGACCCTTTAGATAAGGTGTATTGGGGATTGTGATTGTTTTATATGTGGGACTCCATTGATTATTTTGTATCGACGGGGAATGTTGGATTCTTAATAGGATTAACTAAGTTATTTCACTAATATTTGGAAATATTAAGTGAATTGGTGTTTCACAGATTGGTGGGTGGTTTTGTGATTAAGGGGGCTGGATTTCCTAATCAACAATTAGATAGAGAAGTGTTTGATCATTCTAATAGTATAATTGGATTTGTTAGGAGATCGAAATTTCAGAATTTGATGGGGTTTCAAATGTTGTATGAAGTCTAGGCTTAGGGGTGGTCTGATTTTTTGACTTTTATTTCACTTTTATTTTCAATGAAATTAAGTTGACTTATATTTGGGATATTGGAAAACGGCCATAGAGCAATAACTGTTTTATCTAATGGTCCATTTAGGATTACATGGATTTAGGAAGGGGGTGTAGGTTTGGCATAATATGTAGAAAGGTTTAGGGTGGGATAAACTCGCAATTAGATTAATTTTAAAATTAATTCTAATAGAATGTTTTATGGGAATTATGGATTTTTTAGAAATTTTGGAATTTGGAAGTGAAATGGATGGATTGGATTAGGGTAAATGTTAAAATTCGGGAATGTAGTGAAAGGAAAATTTCAGAATCGATTTAATGCTGATGTTAATTAAATTAACGTCAGTAATTCTCATACCACTATTGTTATACCTTGAAGATAAAAGTAAAAATTGTGGTTGGTGATAAAGGGATTTAATTGGAATAAGCGACAGGTGGAAGTAGGAACTAAAATATTTGAGACAAAATTTCAGGGATAATAATCAATTAATATTAATTGTATTAATATTAACGATGTGTGTTAATTTTAAGAATTTAAGTGAGGGTTAAACTATTTTGGACTTAGGAAAAGGACGGATACTGATTTATAATTAGGAATTCTTATACGGCAAATTTTTTTATAGGACAAGTTTTATAGGACAAAGTTTTTTTATAGGAAAATGATTTTAATTTATTTAAAGGACTTCATTTTTTATAGGACAGTCGCAACCTAAGGACTATTTTTATTTTGGATTATTATTCATAGGAATTGTTAATGTAATGGATTATTGGAATAATTTTTTTTAAATTAGCGCGCGCATAGGAAAAATGATTTTAAATTATTTAAAGGACATTATTGGATTAGTTTATTTATTGCGCCGCTAAGGATTATTTTATAAAAATAGGAGCTTCTCAAGCTATTGAATAATGGACAGTGTTGTTTGGTTGCGACTTAATTTTAAATGGACTTTGTTAATGTTAAATGGATTTTTTGAATTAATAATTAATGGATTAACCAGTATCCTTCCTTTATGTGTGGAGTAAAAATGGATTAAATTGGAAAAATTTTGATTTAAACTTGAGGACATAATTTTCAATTTCATTCCATATTCAATGAAAGAGAAGTAGTGTTTAGTATTAAATTTTGGGGTTTTGGGTAGGGATAAGTTCCAGGATAGAAATTTTCTGGAAATTATTTTTGGTATATTTAGATTGGAATTTCAATAATGGTGGTTCAAATCCGCCGTTATTGAAGATTTAACAAAAATTTAAAAATTTTGGAAATTTAAATTTTGCGAGGAAGTTATTTTTATATGGGGAGGGATAAGAATAAATGGGCAAAATTTTTTTTTATAAAAATTAGGTTATAAATACGGACCTGATGAAAAGGAGGGAAGTAAATTTGAGTTAAGCAAGATAGTGGTAGATTAATTGGGATTGATATTGGTGTCTTTCGGCGCCAGTATCATATTTTGTAAAGGCTGTTGTGGGATACAAATCTATTCTGGAATTTAAAAATGAAGGTCGGATTAATGATAGTTCACATTTTGGAGGCTGATGAATAGGGAGGAAGGAATAAAAATAAAAACTTATCGTTCCTAATGGATGGAGTTGATTTACATATTTGTTGAGAAGAGGTAATGCAAATACTGTGAGGTAGGCGAAGGAAAAAGTGTTCATAAAATTAAGAATTTAAATTAAAAATAAATTATTAATTTGATGAAGGTGTGTGTTGCAAAAAATAAAAATACACCGGTAGTGGGAATGGGAGGAATAGGAAGGAAAATATGTATTAAATTAGTTGCAGTGGATTAGGAAAGGGAAATGATTAAATATTTTGTTCAGACAAGGACATTGATGTATTTATGACGCGAATGTTTTAAGGGAACCAGAGAATAGGAATTTATAATTGATGTTGCCTTCTGTTGTGGTGTGGAGAATAACTATCATTGTAAATAAATGTTTGGGCCCTATATAAATCATTTATCCTAATAGGATAAAGATGTGGTTTTATTTTTTGTGGGAAAGAGTAGGGAATATGTAGGAATTACATCCGAATGTCGGGGAAGGAAACGGGGAATAATAAAAATGAGATTTGACCTAATGTGAAGTGAGCTATATCTAGAGGGAAAAATCTTCGGAAATACGGTTAACAGGAAAAATTGATTGGGTGGGAGAGCAGGATGGTGACTAATAGTACAAAGAAGGAAAAGAGAAAGCATTGGTGTTTTTCTTTAACGCCAATACTGGAAGGTTTGGATTTGAAAAAAATGGGGTATTATGAAAGGAATTTATAGAAAAATATTAATTTATTGTAACATATTGAGATAAGGGGAGGGGGAAAAGTCCATCCTGATAGGATGAATTAGTGTTTTATAAGGGGAGAAGAGAGGAGTTGGGAGAAAATAAATAATTTGGTTAAATGGGAAGGGAACCATCACCAGAGAGGGAAATTGAAACATAGGGAAAAACTAGGGAATTAAAAATTTAAAAAAATTAAGATGGAAACAATAGCCGAAAGGGGAAATGAAATTTGGGAAAGGAACGGGGAGAAAGGAAAAAAGGAAATGTGGAGTGGGATGGAAACTATAGCCAGAGGGGAAATTGAAACTAGAAAAGGGAATACGGACAAAAGATAGAAACATTGGTGTTTTTCGACGCCAATGTCGTATTTTGATAGCAAAATTAATAAATAGGAATTTATGTTAATTAGTACTCTTAGGAATCATTCATCCTTATAGGATGAAGTTATATTTTCATTTTTTAATGGGAAAGATGAGTGAACGGGAGTTAAAAATTATCGAGTGGGGTGGGAAGTGAAAAAAATATTTGTTCGAGTATGGGACAATCAAAAGAAAGAAAATGTCTTTTGAATGGGGATAGGAGAATATAAAGCATTGGTGTTTTTAATAACGCCAATGTTATGTGGACTGTTTGGCTTGGGAAAAGTAGGGACATAGGAAAGAAATTGATTGGAAAAATTGTAAATGAGAATTTTATGAATGTGAAAAGACTGTGTTTCTGTAAAAGGAAGCAGGGATAATAGACATAATGATTCTAAAAATTGGTATGGGAAGGGACAATGTCTTGAGTGGGAAATGAAACCTTGGGGAAGAGAACGGGGAATACGGATAAAAAATTTGAATGGGAGGGAAAACTGGAGGGGGAAGGAATTGAAACCTACAAGAGAGAATACGGGCGGAAGAAAATTTTGGGCGACTGGGAGGGCCATATCCGGAGGGGAAAATTGAACCATCCGGTGCTACCAGTTATGCGCTGGACCTTCCCGGTCCAGGCACCTTCAGAGCGCCGAATGTGTATGGGGGAGATTTGGGATGGTGAGGCGCAGAGGACTAAACGAATAATTAAAGACTAATTCATAATATTTATTTCCATTTAAAATACAATTAAATGGGTAGTGTTTTTAATAAGGGATTAATTGATGGGGGCAATAACATGGACATTAATATTGGGATTGAATAATAAATTGAACTGGAGATGAGGATATAGTTAAGTGATTAAATAGAGGAGAAAGTGGGTGGGATATGACAAAGTTGATAGGACAAAATGTGTCTGGGAAAGATGGGAGGAAGTGTATAAAGTTGTTGACAAAAGGATAAATGTAATTGTGATTTATGTTGGGAACGGAAGAAGATGAACAATATATGAGAGAAAAGAGATAAAGTGTAAAGATAGGCTGGGAAGGAATAAATGGAAGATAAATATAAACAACTATGGGAAATATTCGGGGTCGGGACTTGATGAAAAGGGCAAGTATCGAGTCTCGAGTCTTGGGGGTAACACTGACTTGAGTTCAGTTCCAAGACTTTCTTTCGTTTTTATTCACAATATTTTTATGTAGGTATCTAATCTAATCCCTATATTTTTCTAATTCAAAAGCAAAATCTAGACCTAATTTCATTAAAATTACTTTCCTAGGCACTACCATTCGCCTCTGCTGCCGCTTCCTGTCCAGCTTCCCCCTCTCTTTTGGCTAGACGTTCAACTGCTCCATCAGCACCTCCACCATGTGCTCAAAGTCCGGGAGTACCAGAAGAATCACATTCAGCTATAGGAAGTCAATTAGCAATTGGAGGGGGCCTAAATAACACCAATAATCATTCATTTTCTTCCCCTCCTTCTGTTGCGTCATCTTTTGTTTCATCTGGAATAACAACACCTAAAACAACTGGAAGAATAAAAATTCCTCCAAATCGGCGAAAGGGAGAATATACTAATAATCAACATTTAAATAATGATATTAAAAGAAAAGAAGAAATTTCAGCAACTAATCCATCTTTGTTACGTTGCCAATTTTGTTCTGAACAATTGCCTGATGTTCAGGCTTTACAGGTAGAAATAAAGTTGTTTGGAATAGGGTAGCTCCCCGTCCCCGACGATTTTTTTTGGCAAACCCTAACCCGAACCCTCAATTCTCTACCCGGCAAACCATGATCCCTGACGATCCCGACCTCGAAGGCTCGGGGAGCTTCCCTAGTTTGGAAAATGACTAAATTAAACTCTCTAATAAATTAGTAACTTGAGAGTGGGTAATCCCGGAGGGATTTGAAAGTCTTTTGAGATAAATTATGAGCTGGGATTTTAAGGTCGATTTAACATTCTACCTGTGTCCTTTAAATTCGGAACGAGACTAGATTTTGAACAAACTCTTTGTTACCGTGTTTAAGACCTCCCTAACATTCAATTGTCTTCATTATCCTTTGATAATGTATATTCTTTCTATCCATGAAGATATATTATTTTAAGAATACCTTTAGCCCCTCCTTGTTTAAATTAAATAAAAAAATTTCCTCTTCTATTAAAAATAATTTTTTTGAAGACTCATTGGGTAAAACAACACATGGCTCAACTTACACGTCCCCACGTTTGTGTAGAATGTGATGCTGGATTTACAACAGAATCAGCATTACAAGCACATCGTGAACGACAACATAATTTATCTACTAACAATAATGGAATAAATTATAATTGATCGAAAATTTTAAAAAATTTTTAGAGAATTAATTTTTTTAAAAATATTTTTTTTTCTATTTAATATTTCTGTTTTTATTTTTTTTATTTTTTTTAAATTTTTATATTTACAATATCGACATGACAGATTTTTTTAAATTAAAATTTTGTTATGGAAAAGTGGATTTAAGGCTATTAAAAAAATTTTTTTTGTTAATTTTCTTCATTGTTTCAAAAAAAAATTCTGCCGAAAAATTTTTTTATTCATTGCCAAAATCCACCCTTTTCCATTTTTGTTATCTCCATACTTTTTTTTGCGCAAGTCCCTATGTATTTCTTGTTTTTATATTTTTGCATGCATCTAGCAATGTATATAATAAATTTTAATAAACAAACTTTTTTGGATAATACTTTTATTTTAGATTTTATTTGGTTTGGTACTTGTTTTTAAGTGGCAGTTGATCTTGCTTAACTTCCCCTTGATACCTTGACTAAACTTTATTCCCATCGTTTGCCATAATGAAATCTACCATTTTTCTTTTCCAAACTTCCATATATTGAGATTTATTTGGTCAATTGGTCCTGATTTATTACATTCAGGCTTGAGACTATATTGTCAACTTGTTTGTCAAATTAACTTTTGATTTTCCTTATAATTTTGTCGCACTTTCGCCTAGTCTTACATCACATTTATTTCACCCAATTCCTCTTGATACCTTGACTTCTTGCCGGATTTTATATCATTTTTTATGATATTTTTTATATATATTCTCCGTTAGCCTGAAGTCAACAACAGGGATCGCGCCGATAGAAAATCAAATTCCCGAGTTTCGTGAATTGGGATCCCTGGTTAACAGCTTAGTGTTGTCCGACTACTTTGAGAAAATTTTTTAGAATGATCAAAAATCATTAAATTCTATTAGCTCTTAACTACATAAAACTTCAACAAAATTTTCTCTATCAGAAATTTAATAAAATCATAGTAAATATATTTTTATATATCATCAAATTGAAGTAAGAACCGGTTGTTTTGGATTATTAAAAATCTATAGATTTAATAAAAAAATTTTTTTTGAAGGATTTGGCATTATAAATATCCCTCCAAATACGAGAGAATAAAATAAAAAATTATTTTTTAATCCCTAAAAACATTTTTCGAGAGAAAAAGCTTTGTAAAAATTTTTGAGGATTTTTTAATAAAAAAATTTTCCCTTTTAGCGCAAATCCCCGTATCTTTTTCACATTTTTAAACGACCTGTTTACGCCCTGGACTGTGTCCATTTATTTAATTCTGTTTTTATTTAAATAAATTTAAACAGTGAAAGTTTTTGTTTAACAAAATTTTGGTGAAAACTGGCTTTTAAACTGTTCTGGAAAGTCATAAAACTTGTTAAAATTTGGTGAAATTCCAATTACTACTTTCATTTTGATTTTTTAAATATTAAAAAAAATTTTTTTAGAATTTATTTTAAAATAATGGAGAGAAGATTGCCTTCAATTTCTGTTTTTTCTGTTAATTTAATTAATTTATTAATGGCTTTGAAGCTCCTTGCTTTAATTGTTCTGGTTTTTAACGACAAGGCTAAAGGTAATTAATATTCTGATTTTAATGTTTAATTGAAAATATTAAAAAATCAGAATTAAATTTAAAATCAGAATTATTATTAAATTAAAGAAATTCTGAAAAGCAGAATTAATTTTCTAATCAGAAAAATCAGAAACCAGAAAAACCAGAATTTTTAAACACTTACATATTTTTTCTGAAAATCAGAATATTTTAAAATCAGAATTAATTTAAAACCAGAATTATTTTAAAATCAGAATTATCCATTTTCAGAATATTTTTTAAATTCTGAAATATTCAGGCTATATTTTTCTCTGTAGAAAAGTCTTACTTTCCTTCTGCAAATTTAATTAATTCTATTTAGTTCAAAAATTAAAAATTCTGAATTATTCTGAAACTTTTATTTAAATTCTTTTACTTCCCACAATTTAAGGTTGTTTCCCGTTACAACCAGCAATGTCACCTACCTGTTTCCCGCCTTCAACAGGTTGCCCCTCTGACAGTTATTCACCTTCTACTTATGGATCCGAACCTTCTCCTTATTATTCATATGGTGAATATCAACCTCCCGAAGTTTATTCTTATCCTTCCTCTCCTTATGGATCTCCCCAACAACCTTACTATCACGCTTCTAAATCCCGCACAATGCCTTCTATGGCTGAAGACTCTCCTGCTAATCAATTGAAAAGCAGTCCAAGTCTGGATTCTTGTATTAGACGATATCCAGATACTCGACTTGTCTGTGCGTTGCCTTTCGAAAGGAGAACACCAACAAATGAGAAGGAATGTAAAAAGTAGGGGAATTTTGTTTATGTTATATGTACATGAGGCTGATTCCTAGCTAGGAAGATAAGGGTCATTTGTATTTTAATTAAGCTGGAGCTCCTTATTCTCGAATTTCTTCCTCAAATATTTCCATTCTCGAATTTTCCAAAATTCAAACTCAAGTCTGAACTATCCCCCACATCCTCACTTAGACCATATTCTTATTTAAACGGACCAGATTGAAAGAAAAGTCGGGTCGGGTTTCCGGTCAAGTTTCAAAATTTCTCTGGATTGGGTTTCAGATAACCTGACCCATTCCTGGTTGGCTCAAAGAATATTTCTGGCTAAATCCATTAAAGTGATGGTAGTTAAATCATTACAGCTTTGATAAAACTTCCAAATCCTCTGCACCTAAACAAATTTCCAAAAAATTTAAGGAATTGTCTCAATGTCGGGCCTCGTTGCCGTAGCTTTCAGTATGACCCGGCTGGCAACGTTTGCGATCTGTTTGAGCATTCCCTTGCCCCATCAACCTCTTCCGGACAAACAACACTGCAACCACCACCATCCTCCCCCTCTGATCCTTTTGCTGCTTTGGATGATTGGGATAATAAAAAATCTAAAAAACATTCTTTAACCGTAAAAATGCTGTCTGCAACAAAATCAAAAATTTCAAGGGGACGGGAGAAGAGGTTTTCGCTTCACAATGGAGTTCCTTTGGATGAACATAGTCAATCATTAGCTTATGGAGCGAATTTAGATGAACGTAATTCTGGTTTGATGGCACCTATTGGCGGAGGAAATGAGTAAGTTTTATAGTGATGATTGGACTACTAGTGGGTTATGGAGGATAGAGTTCAAATGGAAGGTTTTAAACAATGTCCGGGATTGGACTAGCAGATCCGGATACGATTAAGCCTGGATATTCGAGAACTCTAGTCCTTAGTTTTCCTCAGACCTGTGTTTGGATATTGATACCGATAATATTAACATGCCTTCGGATATCCGCATGTATCCGCCGTATATATCCGGATATGGATACCATTACCCATGTCCATGCACAGGTCTGGTTTTCCTGACATTCTATATCTTTGTCCTTCTCTCATTTTTGGTTATCTAAAGCATATGAGTACCAAGTAGCGCCGGGGAGATCTCTCTTTCTCATAAATTGGGGGAGTATCTAAATTCCACAATTACATAACCAAACCAAAAGATATATAGCAAAAAATTTTGAAGCCTTTCTTCATCCACTTCTCATTGTGTTCCGATACTTGAACGAAAGGTAGGAGTTGTTTTTACTGGGCTAGAGCCAGGCTGTGAATCTGTCGGTTTGGATGAAGGGGAATACGAAGGAGATGAAGAGATTGGCGAACAAAAAGACGGTTATGAACAACAATTATTGGAAGATCTAGAAGATTTAAAACCCAAAGCTAGTCCGCCTCCATTAACCACAAAGCCACCAAATAATCTTCAAAAACAAGAACTTGAGCCGATGACTACAACTTCTGTTGGCAAAAGTAGAAAAGAACAGACTACAACGGATAAATCAAAAAATCGAGGAGATATTCAAGAGGACGTTGATGCATCTTTGACAAAGTCAAAGGATTGTCAAGAAGGACATAAAGCTTATATTCAGGTAGGAAATTTAAAAAGGGGTCATTCAATATTCATGAAATAAGAGGAAGATTGAATGATCTATTAATTAGAGATCGGACCGATCTACCGTCAAAATCTTTTTTAAAAATCTCGGTTATCAAGCTAAAACCTTTCAAAAAACCCTTTAACCTACTATACGTTTTCATAACCTTAACTTGGATTTAAAAAATTAACTAAATATCTTTCGAAAAATATAAATCTACTTATTTTCAAGTTAATCGACGGTATTTCACTAATCGGCCAATTACCTCTTCTTCTAGCAGTACAATTAGAATCTGCTGATGTTTGTCTTCAAGTCTGCCGTCAAAATAGAGTTTAAAAATCTCTTTAAATTTTAAATTTTGAAATTTTCTTAAAGAATTTGGACGGCTTTGTTTTACCAAATTCCTGTCGTTCGGCCACCTTTCATAGGCAATCTGGCCGTTGTGAATTGTTAAATGATTCAATCTCGCCCAATGGTCCTCTTCAGTATATCCCAAATCCTGACTCTCTTTACTTTGAAAAACTGTGTATTCCAAGTAAACTTCTGCTTAAAAATAATTTTATAAAATTTTTGTAGAATCAGACTTAATTTCTAATTGTGAGGATGTTATACATAGAATTCCTCAGCATTATTTGGACTCTAGAAAGAAACAAAGTGACGGGGCTGCAGTTAATGCTCAAAACCAATTGGAATGTATCAAGCAATGTATTGGGGCTAAGGTAGATTTTATAGATGTTAAATCTACCGTATATGCTTGAACCCTCCTTCGAATACGACAATAATTACACAGGCAATAATTACGCAAGACAATAATTACGCATTAATCATTCGAGCATATCAGGGTGGTCCTTTGCAAATCACCAAAAAGGGGCAAAAATGTGGCAATTTTGAAAAAGGGGAGAGGAGGTCAAAAAACGGGAAAACCCCCTAAAAAGTGGCAAAAGGACCACCCTGCAGCTGATACGCTAATTAGATTACGGTTCGGTTCTTCGGTTCAGTTCTTGATATCCGAAGATTTACCAGAACCGACAACCCTAGTCAGCCCTCATTTACAAAAAATTCTTTTGTTTCGTATACCTTTTGGGCTAAAAAATCACTTAAAATTGAGGTTAACTATTAATTGGTGTACTTTCTAAAATTGGGGCCTGACTGTATTTAAAGTCTATTTAATCCAGAGTTTATTTTTAAGAGCAAATTAGGCTTTGAATGTGCCTCAGCAAGTTTCTTCTTCGACTGGCAAGGCGATAATTGCTTCCTAAGCAGATTTACACGCCTTTCTAGATCTGATTTGTATGCAGCAGAAAGAAAAGAATTGGTAGATTATATGGAAATACCTCTTTGCTTTAGATTATCTGGTAGATTTTCTTATAAAATCTAGGACCTACAGTAGCCCTATTACTGTAACACTAGAGATAAGTCTTTGAGTGACCATCCTTACCTTTTCCCTCTAGCCAAAATATTTATTTTCCAGTAAATAATGTCAGACAAAGGGATGTATTAACAACTAATTACCCTTCATCTTCAACCTCCTCCGCTTCTTCATTTTCTTCCAACGAAAAAGAAGAATCTATTGAAGATACTTCATTTGCATTAAAAAATGATTGGAGTGCGTGTATTGGAGGCATACGTTGGAGACCTAAATTAAATTGTAGCATTGCTACTACTAAAAATAATAATTGCTTAGAATCTGAAGCATGTTCTGCAACGAATAATCGTAAGTTTCAAAGCTAAAATAAACAAGATAAGAACTTATGGCTGAGAGTGATGCCCAAAGATAGCATTCCCTTCGAAGGGAACATTTCCCAGTCTGAGTGGAAAATACATGTCAAGTCATGTCCGGCTTGAACATCCACTCTTGTTTGAACGTAACGCCATTACACTCTGCCATTTGCATTAATTTTTAGATTTGCATTTTATTTTCTAGAAGCAAAGCCTATAGCTCCAAGCATTGAAGTAGCCAAACGATTTAAGGCCCCAGATGTTAATTCTCATGAAGCTAGGTATTTATAAATGATTAAAAGCAATTATAATAATTTATTTCTCAGTCTTTATGGAGAACAGGATTATGAAAATCAAAAAGAAATAAGTTTCTTTGGACCTCCACATGAAAATACTGATACTAAATCAAGTAAATTTTAACGCTATAAAAAATTATTATATGATGTACGAGAAGGGAGTAAATCGGGATTTAGATATTAGAAAGCGATTGAGGATCTGAGGTCTGAGGGTCGATCGGGAATTTAAACAATCGATCGATTTCGATAAGGATTGTTTTTTTCTTGTAAAATCTTCGTATAATCGAAACCGAAAAACCGAAACAAAATTTCCAGATACTCCGAAAAATCTTGTTATGGTTTCGGTTCTTAACCTTACTGAGAGCTTTTTGAGATAGATCTTGCCTCGATCCTCACTAGTTATGATTTCTGCAAAAATTAGAAAATTTGAGGCATTAAACTGAGATAAATCCATGACCCTTACAAATTAATTTGTTTAATTTTCAGATAATCTATTAAAATCGGAAACGAAGCCAAATTGTGATCCAACAAAGGATTGTTGCCCTATAAGTGAAGGAAAAGGAGGAATAAAAGGAATGGTGCGCGGATGTTCTTTAGGCACTAGAAGGTTACCCAATGGAAAGTCAGTTAGTTGTGTACCTGACAAGTGCCATTGAATAGAAAAAAAGATTTTATCTAAAATACCTATATTTAATTTATATTTTTAAAAATAAACAAAATATTTATTTATAAATAGTTTTTAAAGTTTTGAATAAATTAATTTTTGTTCTCTCCTTCAGAATAGGCAATGTTCCGCTCAGACTAGGATTATTCTCATAAATTAGGGGATGTTATTTGGAAATGTTCTATCCACACAAGGGATATTCCTTTCTGACTAGACTAGAAGGGATGTTCCCTTCTCTTCAATCCCCCGTTCCTGAAACAACCTCACCACGGAAGCTCTTTTGAATCAACTGTTCAAAAAATAACGTTAAAAAACCAAATGTATCAAAATCGTAAAATTACACTAGAAACGAATGAGAGGAGAGATTCCATCTTTCTACTCAAACCTGAATAATTGTAAGGATGATTCACCTAGAGCATTTAAAACGCTTCGGGGGGAGGGGGGGGGTTAATGTTTAGCAATAACTGTCAGGAGGTCGCAGGTTCAAATCCTGCCCGGTGCTACTCTTTCTTAATCCATCTAATCACCTAATCTCACATTTAAGAAAAAAACCCAAATTTTTTACTTTAATACAATTTATTCATCGTTAACTCACAAAAATTAGCGAAGCATATACATTATACATACATACACATTAGCATAGAAATCACAACAGCGGGAAACACAAGAATAGCAATGTGGTATTGGGATGAGTAAATAATATATTTGGGTATATACATACAACCTGACAATGTGACACCAATACGGTAAAGGTACAATTCAGAGTGAAGAAGAAATTCAGAGGGGGACACACATTTAGATAGTAGTTTCCTATGTACATTACAAGGTGATAAGGGGAGAATAGAAGTGGGGAATAGATGTGATATTCTGATTATTCCTCTCCTCCTTCTTCGCCTTTGCCTTCATCCTCTTCCTTGCCGCCTTCTTCCTTCTCATCCTTCTTGCTTTCTTCCGCTCCCTTCTCGCTCTTATCGCCGCCCTCCTTCTTCTCGTCGCCGCCCTCCTTCTTCTCATCGTCGCCGCCCTCTTTCTTCTCCTCGTCCTTGGCGCCTTCCGCAGGTTTGTCTTTGTCAGCCTGAAAAATAAAACACATGTAAGCAAGTCAAAAAATAATCTTTTTAAAACTCACGTCGTCTTTCTTCGATTTCTCTCCTGGTTTCTCGGCTCCAGCAGCGCTTTTCTTGTCCGCTCCCTCAGCAGCCTTATCCGCCGGTGGCTTCTCATCTCCAGCCTTCGATGTCTTCCCATCTCCTGGACCCTTCGCTTTTGCATCGTCCTTCTTGTCGTCCTCTTTCTTCTTGTCGTCGTCCTTCTTGTCCTCACCAGGCTTAGCAGCAGCAGGTGGCGGAGCGCCAGGCTTTGCACCAGCAGCAGCAGGAGGAGCGCCAGGCTTTGCACCAGGTGGTGGAGGAGCTCCCGGTTTAGCGCCAGGAGGTGGTGGAGCGCCAGGAGCACCAGGGCCAGCAGGAACGCCAGACTAAAATGAAAAACAAGGAATTTATTAATACACTAATAAGAATTATCCAGTAAAACTCACTTTTTTAGCTGCCTCAGCTGCCTTTGCGATAGCGGAAGGAGTACCAGGCTTTGCACCAGGAGCGCCAGGTGGAGGAGCGCCAGGGGCGCCAGGAGCACCAGGTTTCGGAGCGCCAGGAGCGGCCGGAGGTGCACCAGGTTTCGGAGCGCCAGGTCCAGCAGGTGGTTTCGCTGCTCCAGGTTTCGCTGCTGCTCCAGGCTTTCTAAAATGAAAAAAGGAATCAGATCAGTATGAGCTTTGAATACAAAAAAATAAAACTCACGCGGGCGGCTTTGCAGCTGATTTTGCCGATGGTGGCCCTTTTAGCGATGCTCCTTCTTCCGGTGGTGGTTTCATCTCTGTACCTGGAGCCTTCTTCTTCTTCTTGCAGCATTGCGCGGCGAGCATGGTTGCAACGAAGAACATCACCAGATATTGACAGCCGAACACGAGCATGCGGATTGCCTCTGGAGATAACGAAGATATGTCCATCGTGCAGCAATCGAAGATACGAGTTTTGTGACGAAGTAGTTATGTGTTGTTGGTAGAAGTATTACAGAAAGCTGAGCTTTTATACTACCGTATTGTGAGGGGGCTTTTATATCATGCCCCTTTGAGTGACCTTGACGAGAGTTGAGGGACGAGGGTTAGGGTGAGAGTAATTAGAGAAGTGAGGGTTATTGGTCGTTAAAGAGAGAGTTATGGGTCGTACCGTACTGAATTCGAATGGTAGGAAAAAGAGCTGTATTTCATCCCTATGAACATCTTCCTCTGATGTTATTGGACTTGCCCCGTCGTGGAATACAAACTCCGTTTTTGGAACAATATTCTCAATATTGGAACTTATAATGGGGAATTCATCTTATCTGGAACTGTCTTTGAAAATTTTACACTTGCGTCAAAACGACCCAAGCACCAGCTTGGAGATATAATAGCCTTCTTATCTAGTTACACTACGGATTTGGAGCCTGTATTTGCCGGTCCCACTCAGGCACACGACGGTCCCACGCAGGAATCAAAACCGAGAATAAGAGCACCTCTTCTAACCCGCCTGTTATCTCCCTTATTAGCAGAGCTACATTAAAATTAAATAAAATGGCAAAACAAAAATTTAAGCTCGAATCAAAACAGAAAATACATTTTAGACAATTTTAGAATTTATGAGTTTTTTCCAAATAAAAATATATTTTTTTTCTAAAAATATTTTCTATCTAGATAGAAAATGACGAATAATTTCAACAGGTATTGGCACCTGAAAATTTAAAAAATTTTTTAAATTTTATTTCAAATATTACAATAATTGTAGAATTTTTCTCAGCAGCCACAGAATTTAAAGTTTGTAAAAATCTTAATTGTAAAGCTGCAGGTGAATCAGCTAGCATTGTAGCCGCTTCTTTTAAAGAATTACTTGCTCTTTGTTCGCCTTCTGCTGCTATTACCTTTAAATTTATTTTTGAATTTTTCCTTATTTTTATCAGAACACCTTTGCTCTAGCTTCTCGTGTTGCTTCAGCCTCAGCAGCCATTGCTCTTTGTAACTGCAGTGGAAGCCGTACATCCTTTCTAATATGTAAGTATTTTGAGATTTTAGATTATTACAAAGTCTATCCCCTAGTAAAATCTCTAGAAGGGAAAGACTATAAAGATTTTTAAATTCTCAGCCATAAGGCAAGAAGGGGTTTGTTAAAATTAGTTTCACTCCGAATTGAGAGCTCTGCTGGAACTTCTCAGTAGAGGTTAGAATCACTCTCTATCCAAATACACCACAAATCCAATTGGAGAGTGTAGTCAATTAGTTAAATCTCCCAAACACCCCCTTCCCTCCCTCTCTCCCAAAAACCCTCTGCAATTTCTCGGAGATTGTATTCCTATACCTTACGCCGTGTAAATATTATAATTTAATTTTGGAGAGACTTGTCTAATGAAAACTAAATTATTAAAAAAGGATTTACATTTCTACTCGTTCCACTTTAATTCCCCAAGAATCAGTTGCTTCATCGAGTAGTGTTTGCATTGTCTAAAAGTTTTTAAATGAAAGGATTTAAATTAATCCAAATAACCAAAGCTATTGAATCCCTATCTGAGAGAATTTCTGCCAAAGTTTTTATTCCAAGCCTTTAATTTTAAAAATTAATACTTCTAAAAATACATATTCCAGTGATTAAAAATATCACAGTCGAAAATAATTTTTAGATACCCCAAAATTATGTACTCCGAAGAATTAGCCACTAAATCGGATAGTGAGCAGGGATGGTCCAGCCGAGAAAAAGTCAATACCCTTCGGATCAAATTTTTCAAAGTCTCAGGTCCTACGGACACTCATTATAAGATAACTAGTTTTTAAATCTCAAAGGGGTATCTAAAAATGAGGTTCGACTGTATATATGTACATATGTAATTTACATATTTCTCATTGTAGTTTGAGCTAATAAGCGAGTAGAGTGATGTGCATTTTCAACGTTGGCAACACTAAAAAATTTTTCATAAATTCGAAAATATCCAATTCCCCAACCTAACAGTAGCATTCATTATTCTATAATATACAACAGCATCAACTGAGACAGTAACAGAGTCTCTAGTAAGAATTTCTTGAGGAGGCACACTGAAGGAAACTGTGCGCAAGTCAACTCGAACATAGGATTCAATACAAGGCATTACCCAAAAAATGCCTGAAAATAATATTTAGGTATATTTTTTGAAAGGACAAGCAAGAGGCCTTCTTAGTTTTTTATCATTGTGGACCTAAAGCTATACTACTGACTGGACTTATTAGAAATTGAAAAAGATACAAGTGACTACATACTAACTAGATGTTCAATTAGAGGTTTTATTAACGATAGGGTTTATCAAATCTGTAACATAGAAAGTAAGTGAAACGAGAAATCCGTAAGATAGAGGTCAAGATCTATAACATACTTGGTCGATAAGATAAAGTGTATTACGTACAGCGTTTATAAAATAGAGGTTTTAAGACAAAAATGATTCTATTAAATAGAGGGAATCATAAAATGGAAGGGTTATTGAATAATAAATCTTGTAAATTGAGATCATAGTATAAGTTCTTATAATCATAAGAAAAATTCACCTGGTCCTTTTGAACCTCCACCAATTAGCCTTCCCAACCGAAATATAACAGCCCTCTCATATTCTTTAACAACTTTAAGGCAAAAACAAACAGAAACTGGGAAAGTAGCCAAAACAATTAGCCAACCCAAAAACCAAAACCCCCATTGACATAACCAACTGCTCGTATCTCCATCATAATCACCAGCACCTTTTGGGTAATAAGAAAGTTTGAGTTGGGCAAGTGATTGACGTCGCATTTCTCTTTCTTCCTTCAAAATAAGATTTTAATCCATAGTTTTAGAGATTTGAGGATTGATTCGATTAATATCTTGAAAAATCTTAATCTCGATAACCGAGATTTTTGAGTGAGATCTCGTTTTAATCCTCTCTAACTTCGTGTTTTTTAATATCAGGCGACATCCTTAAATGAGTACAGCCCAAAAAGACGCGCAGCCATAACTTGCTGGAAAATGTCTGGCCTTGTCCATTTTGGTACCAATCTCCCTAGCTCGATGAGAGGAATTGTTTAATACTAAATCTGGTAAGATAAAAAATCTTGAAGCAAGTTATGGGTTTGTAATTTTATGGCCGAGCGCCGGTTTTGGCGTGTCCCTCTTTAAATGGGTTTTTGAATATGACCTATGGCTTTTTATGGAGATGACTTAGCTTATCTCCTCGGTTTTTCAATATAAGAGTCAATAGGATCAGATAAGAGAATTAGAGTTTCCTCCTACCTTTGCAAAGATCAACGGATTCAAAGTAAAACGTCTGCCCATTCTTGGACGCCCTCCTGATTGACTATGCCTAGGAGTGTTTAAAGCACTTGGAGTAAGAAAATAACTAGGACTTCCACCACCACTACCAGTGCCAGTCATTTGTTGTTGATGTTGATGGCTACTTTCTGGGGTTAAAAAATGTGATTGTTGCATTAAGGGAACACGTTCTCCAGCAATTATTTGATGTTCCTCTTCCTCTACTTCCTTTGGATTTTGGCTGTTTCCAGCAGCAAAAGAAGCGTGTGGTGGGGAGGAACAACGTGAAGATGTTCCCGATGAGAGAAGTGAGGAGGATTCGTCTGGATTGGATCCGCAAGTTCCTGAAAATTTGAATATAATTTTCAATGAATTAATTTTCTCTCTAATACGAGATGGTGATCAGGGGTGGGCGCAAGAGGCAATCGTGAAAAACGCAAAACGCAACGCAAGGCCAAAAATCAACGCAAAACGCAAAAAACGCAAAACGCAAAACGCAAGAACGCAAAATTCTGAAAAAAATTGTTAAATCGAGTATTAGCCATTTTTCAGTTAAAATAGAAGTATTACTATAAGTCAGCGAGTCCTAGTTGATCTTGTGATACAATTAAGTTGGATGGGTAATGATTTGAAGGGGATACAATGGGATTATGAAGGATATTAGAGGATTTAGAGCGATTATGAAGGATGGATCGAGGAAAATTGGAGGGATCAAGAAAATTTAAAAAGATACCATGCGATTACTGATGAATGTCGGATGGGTTGGGGAGATAGCGGAGGATAAATGCCTCTCTGTAATTCTCAATTGATACCGCGGATATCAAGGGATTTGGAGGGAAAAAGGGAGATCGGAGCTCAAGATATTGAACTGATATTTTGCTGAGCAGTTCCAAGAAGCCAAATTTCTTCCTTTTTTAAGCGCCGCAGGCGAAAATTTTGAGAATTTTGGAAAGTCATAAGCCTGATTTCCTTCAGATTTTACACTCAGATTGGGTATATTTCTTGCGATTTTTTGCGTTAATTTTGGCCAAATTTACGCAAAACGCAAAACGCAACGCAAGGCCAAAAATCAACGCAAAACGCAAAAAACGCAAAACGCAAAACGCAATGCGCCCACCCCTGATGGTGATTTTTAATAGTAAAGCAGCTGAGCCCACAAAGAAACTAGCAAAATTGGGATAAATAAACCCGAGAACTATCCCACGAATGAGTATCTCTCGGAAGGGATAGCTACCCTTCCTAGAATGTAAGGGATTTTGGTAAGGGTGATTCCTTCGATTAATTACACTATTAGCTAAAGATTGAAACAATAAATTACCCAAAGTAATTAATCAAGAAAATAAGAGTAACCAGATTTAAAAGAATCTTACTTTACTTATCAAATGAATTTTTAAATTAATTTTGAATTTTTAACTCTAGGTGGCTTAAAACTTTGTTGACAATCTAAGAATTATTTTCCTTCCTCCTCAACCTTCCCCAAACTCATTTTCATTTTCAAATACACCTAATATTTTTTTCTTAATCTCCTACTCTCGTCATATCCTTGTTGATTTCCAGCAACTCCCCTCACAGCATCCCCTCGTCTCCTAAAGGAAGACGGAGCTGAACGGAAGCGATTCAAAGGAGGAGGTTCTCCAACATTTTCGGAAGGATTAGGGTCGAGTAATTTCATTTTAAAGAATTAATTTTTTCTAAAAAAATAACAAAAATAAGAAGAAAAATGGGAGAGGAAAACAATTTTTATTTCTTTTATTTTTTTATTTAATTAGCAGTAATGGAATAAATAAAAATAAAGGAGAAAAAAGGCTGTCCAAGACAAGGACATTATTTAAAAAAACAAATCGTGAAAAATAAAGTTTTTTGGTAGAATAACTGAGTAGAAATAAGGCAAATTTAAAATGTTTTTTAAAGTGAGTTTTAAAGATGTTTGGAATTAGGGGAGCATTTAATGAATGTTGAGAAGCCTAATTAGAATTAGGCTGATAAAAAAGCCGGGTATCAAATATTTAGCCCAAAACTGGCACAATCGGTTCGCCACGATAAAAAAAGACTCGAGTCTATTTTTTGCGCCGCAGTCGAAAATATTGCAAATTTTGGAGGTCCTTAAGCCGGATTTCTTCCATTTTTTTGCGCCGCAGGAGAATTTCAAAGGCCGTAGGCCAAAAAAAATTCACTTTTTTGCCTAATGTCTTCCCCAATTTCATTTTCAATCCAAAATGTTGATTTTAAAGTACATACTTTCAACAAAGTACAAATTCAATTTCGTAAGTACGAAGGTCGATTTCAAAGTACAATACTTTCAAATTAAGTATGAATCCAAGCCCTGTGTTAAACAATTGTCAAAAACTTAACTTAAAAATGAAAGAAGGATAAGATAAAAATTGGAATTTAAAGTTGGAGAGAATCTTCTAGTTTAAATTCGTTTGAAGTGTAAGCCTTTTGTGGATGAAAAATTGCACATTAAAATGAGCTGTACATTAATAATATAGAGATATCGGAGATATGTATATGGAGATAAAGAAAGTATCGCCTAGGTATCGCCTAGGTATCTCCCTACACCCCCCCCCTCCAAACAGGACCAACCACGTTTAAAAACTCGGACACTGAAACTGAGGAGTATAAAATAACCAAATATAGAACCGACTGTAATGAAATTTAATTTAATTTAAATAGCCTTGCCATTCGAAAACTATTTTGGCTATTTAACTAAAATCTCAAAACATTATCTTAATTTAATTGAGGTCACGCAATCCTCTCAAAAATGTCCCCAAATTCATTTAAACTTTTTTTTTAAAATCCTCTCTCAAAAAATACAACTTTTTTCCCCTTTTTATTTATTCACAAAGTTGTAAGATTTAAAGAGGCAAGTTTATTTGTTTCCGCCTAGCGTGGACAGGCTATAAAAATAAACTTTGTTGACCGGAAAAGTTGAAAAAGTTGGGAGAGGGAAAAAAGGGGTTATTTAAAAGAAATATGTAAATTACTCTAAAATTTAAAAATAAATTTTGAAAAAAAATTGAAAAATATATTTTTTAAATTTTAATTGGAGACGTTCAAGACTCTTGGTCTTGAGCCTTGATTAATGTCATTTATTAGGAGGTTTTCAGTCTTGAGGTGAAGTCTTGGTCTTCGTCTCACTTTTATGAGGTTTACTAGATTTACACCCTACGAATTAAATGTTTTGGATTCCTTATTAAGTCTTGGGAGGTCTTAGAAAATTTTCGTCCTTTGAGATATCCAATTTTAACATGCTTACCAATTAATATTTTTGTGCTTTTCTCAACATTTTCAATGTCTTCTTGTGAGGGTTCTTGAACAAGTTGAATTTTTGGAATTTTCATTTTATTTTTAAATTATTTCTTTAAAAAATTATGAGAAGAATTTTAATAAAAAAATAAAAATTTTGGAAACATTTTCGAGAAAAAAAATAAATAACTTTAAATTTCTTTTTAAAAAAATATGAAAGTAGAATATTTTTGAGAATAATGCCAGCCAAAATATTTCTTCAAAAAAATTTTTTCTTAAATTTTTACGCTTTATTTGTTCTTTTTTGCTTAAAATGCGCGTCTGTCATATTACTTAAGGTATTTACCGGCCTCCATATTTTAGCCTTGAGAAAGTCAGCTAAAATTTATTCAAGCATAAAAGATGGAAAAAAAGAATTTTTAAACAACTTTCTGCCAACTTTTTTAAAACTTTTTCTAAGCTTTTACCAACTTAAGTCGAACTTTTTACAAACCTTTTTCGAACTTTTTCTCAACTATCTTTTCTCAAACTTTTCCCAAACCTATTATACCAACTTTTTTCGAACCTTTTTCCGACTTAACCCCACCCAACTTGTTTTAAAGCATTTTCCAATTTTTCTTAAGCATTTTATCAACTTTTTCCTAACTTTTTTCGAACCTTGTTTCAACTTTCTTCAACTTTTTATCAACCATTCTTCAACTTTCTTTCAAACCTATTCTCTTACAACCTATTTTCCTAAACTTAAATTTCCCCTAGTTTTTGGGGTCATTTCGGTCAAAAAATTTTTTTAGCTCAAGTATTAAAAAGCCTTGAATATTTTTGACTATTAGAGGAGGTTTTTATGAGAAAGTTGCATTTTTTTCAAGTTTTGCACTATTGTTTTTAAAAAGGAAGAAAGTAATTTGAGCAGATGGAAGAAAATGAAAAAAGAAAAAGCAGAGACCCCCCTACCCTCCCCCCCCCCTCTATATATTTTCTTTTATTTTTTGAATAACTGAATAGGGGGGCTTTTGGAAGAAAAAAAAGAGAATGTCAGTGAAAGACTTTTTTTTAAAAAAGTTGTCAAAATGAAAAAATGGGAGGAAATGTTTTGTTTTATTTGAGAGAGGAAAATGTGGAAGGAAATTAGGGGAAATGAAAATAAATGTGTAGTATCTTTTAAAAATTTTGAAAAGATTTGAAAAATAAATCAAAATTAATTAGGTTATTTTTTAAATTAAAAAAAGGTTAAAAGGGAAATATAGATTGTGAATAATAGGGATCCTTTACATCTGTTCAGAGCAGAGTGGAGCTTTCTAAATCACCAAAAGGAGGCATGGGTTCCCAAAAGTGGGGCAAAAAGGTGGCGAAATCGGTCAAAAAGGGGGCAAATGCCGCACAAATGAGGCAAAAGGGCCACCCTGGTTCAGAGCTTTTAATAGTCTCCGATTAAATTTTTGAGTTCAAATTTTATTTAGCTTCTTTCTCTCTACTACAGAGTTTGATTCCAAGTTGATTAGGCTTGGAGGATTTGGATATTCGAATTTCGGATGTCTGAAACTCCAAATTCGGTTAGAATATCGATTTGGGATATCCATGGATTTACCAGGACTTGCCAATTTTATAGTTGACTCTTAACTTAGAAACGATTTTCTAAGTCGGCCCATTTTTAACTAGAAATAAAGGTTGTGTTTACTTCACAGATAAAGATAATCGGCTTGGCCTACATGAAATTTAACTGAATTTAGTTGAAGTTCTTTAAAAGAACTTAATCATCTGTTCAGCTCTTGGATTGTTCAAGAAATAATTTGAAAATAAAATTTAAAAAAATACAAAAATATTACTTATTTTTTCTTGGAATTTATTTCAAAAATTTATTTTTCTATAAAATTACTTTTTTAGTAACAAACCCAATTTAAAACAGACAAAATACACTTTACTTCCGCTAATTTAATTTTATTTATTTTTGTTGCTATCTCAACATTTTTTATTTATTTAAAAAAATTCTAATTAAAATTAATAAGACTCTCAACAAAAAACTCTCTCCTTTCTTCCCTCCCCCCCCCCTTCAAAATAACAAAAAATTTCAACTTGCCCTCTAATTGAATTCTGACATGTTGTATTCTTCTACGGTCAACAATTATACTACTAGCTGTCCTATAACTGGTATTTTGTTGTTGTTGACTACTAAATATTATTGGAACATTCCCCCGTCTTAAACTTTCCTCAGTAAATTCTCTTTCGTTTAAAGAGGAATTGTTGTCTAAACTAGCTCCTCTAAGCCTTAAACCTCCTCCTCCACCCTCTGGGATTTCTTCTTCATTTACTTCCATAAATGAGAAAAAATTTTTTTCTAAAAATGTTTAAATTTCAATGATTATATCAAAAAATGGGGGGGAATTGGTGAAAAAAGCTGGAAATAAAAATGAGGGAAAGAGGTGGAAATAAGCTGAAAATAAAATATCTTTTAACTGATATCTAGAGCTAATATAAAATTAAAATTAAAAAAAAGTAATAGCAAAAATCAAAATTTTCGGAGCCTACAGGAAAAATATGATCAAGATTTATTTTTAAAACAAACCATAATGGTCTACCCTTAAATTTATTATATGGGCCCATGGAGGAGAAAGGCTGAAAAAAATTTAGGCAAAAAATCTTATTTTAAATTTGTTTTTGGCCCAAAAATTATTTAAAATTCCATAGCAAATTTCTTTTAAAGCAAAAAAAACAATTTTGTTTTTATTTGCCTCAAAATTTTTCATTAATTAAGATTCACAATGATTTTTTAAATATTTTTAAAATTATTTTAGCAAAAAAGGGAGTAATTATTAAATTGGGTGGACATTATTTGAAAATTTTATCACATAAAAATTATTTTTTGGCCTAAAAAATATTTAAAAATTCCAGGACGAAATTTTCTAAGGCGAAAAACGGAAAAAATTCCACTCAAAAAATTCCAATATTTAATTTGTCCAAAATCCATTCGAAAGGGAGAAGCAATCAATGGGATAATCGAATATTATTATTTGCTATTTGTCACAAATAACCACCCAAAAAATTATTTTAAAGTTTGTCCTTTCACAAAGTTATTTTGGAGTGTAAAATTTGTGGGAAAAAAATAATTTGTTGAAAAAAGGGAAGAAGAAGATTGTCAAATGTTGAGGAAAACGTAAATTGGATTACACACATATATATTAGCTGTTATATGAAAAAACTGGAAGAAAACGCCCTCAATTGAGTTTGGGTGGAAAATAAGCTTCTTTAGAAAGCTATTTAAAAAGTATGTACACTTGTGGTCAGCGGTCTTTGTGAAAAATTAATTTTTTAAATAAAGATAGGTGTCAGATAGAGGTGGGTCGGAACAGCCAGGGGTGTCGGAAATCGAAAGAGCCGGAAATCGGAACTGGCTCAAATTCGGAACTTGGAAATCGGAAGGAAAAAACGTCGGAAATCGGAAGGTCGACACACCTCTGGTATCAGAGATCTCGTCAACCCGATTCACGATTCCCGAAAATCGGTAATTTGGTTTTCTACTGGCGCGCTCCTTGATAGGTGTGTTGTAGTTAATAAAAATTTTTAAAAATAAAATTAAATTTGGAATTAAAATTTTATGAAAAAAAACTGGAAGAAAACGCTTAAAAAAATTTTTTAAGAAAAATTAAAAAAAAATTTTTTTTTGAATCAATATTCCTAATATGTCATGCAAATGAAAAAAAGGTTCTAGAAAAAATATCTTGACCAAAATTAGCGGAAGAGCAAGATAATTTATCTTAAAAATTGAGATTTCAAAAAAAAATTAAAGCATTAAAAAATTAAAAATAATAATTTTTACAAATTTATTTCAATTTTCCCCATCATTTTATTTGCAAAATATTCTTCAATAGAAATTGATTTAATTAATTCTTTTCTCAAAATTAATTTTGATTTAATTTTCTTTCCTTCCTCATTTTTAATATCCTCATAAATACAAAAAGAATTTTCTATAGGCGTTTGTAAATTAATATTTGGAAGTTTTGATGAATTTAAATAGGGAGTTTGGGGATGATTTTCTTCGTTAGTTATTTGTAAATCAAAATGGTCTTGTGGAAGTCCAAAAAGTGCCTTAAAAAGAAAATTGTGAGCGAGTAATTTTTTAATTTTTTTGAAAAATTTGCCCTGAAATTTAACCAAAAAATTGCTTTGGAGCATTAAATTGTACTCTCTAAAGTGTCATTTTGGTAATTTTTCGGTTCGTATTCCCCATGCTCTTTTTGGACCATTTTTCACTTTTCCTTCCCTTTCTCCCTTATTTTCATGAGGAAAGTATCAAAAAGGACTGTCGACTCGATAATTACTTAAACTTTCCAAAAAATCTTTTGAAAGGAAATTTTTATCGAAAAAAACACTTGACCGCTCTAAAAATCTAAAACTTTAAATCCCTACAACTTTTTGAAGTGGGGGTCGGGGGAAGAAAAACCAAAAATTGGCGATTTTTCTGGTTCAAGAAATCGTAAAATTATACAGAAAATTTCTTCAATGGCGTCTACAAGGAACACATTTTTACTCTTCAAAGGTTTGAAAGTTAAGAAAAAAAATTCCTCAAAAATAAACAAACCTGAAAGTCCAAATCATTAATTAAGGATTCACTAATTTTCGATTTTTTAATAACTTGTTTTGGTGGTGCAATTGGAGTTTTGAAAAGAGAAGAACTTTGATCAGTATGGTCATCAGAAAATATTTCGAATCTGTCAGTTTTTGACTTCTTTGTGACACTTAAATTAATTTAAAAAATTATTTATGACGCAAAATATGAAATTAAAACTTCCTTTTTTCGAAAAATTATTTAAAATTTTGCCGCACTTAAGGAAAAATTGGAATCGTTCATGAAAGAATAAACAAGTCAAAAAATTTTCCAGAAGAGGTAAAAAATAATAAGAAACACGGCGGACACTAAAATTCTAGTTCAAAATTCAGGAAATTCAAGAGAATTGGGGTTCCTGCGAAAAAAAATTTAAAAATAAGAAAAGGGGTTTTCTAAGGTAAAAAATAGCTATCATTTTCATATCATTTGCATGTTTCAACTTTTCGAAATTTAAGCTCAGATTCGTAATCAGCATATTTTTTTACTCTAGAAAAACCACTTTTTCTTATTTTTAGAATTTTTTCTCAGGGACCCAAATTCTCCGGGATTGCCAAAATTCATATGTAGACTAGAGACCGGCGCAGGACGGGATCCCGACGGGATTTTCCGAGATCCCGAAATGCCGGATTTTTTTTATTTTCGCGATTTTTTAAATTCAGGATTTTTCGGGATTTATCCCTCGGGATCCCGTCCCGGCATCGGTTAAGAAAAAAATCCCGACTCGGGATCCCGGAAGTGCGATTTTGCCGGTCTCTAATGTAGACCTAGACCTAACAAAAATTTTTTTTAATAACCTCAAAACTCCAGGCGGTCCTTGAGGCAATCGTATGATCGGTGCAAAATGTAAACGTCCAATTCCTCTAAGTCTCGAAAATGTTGTTCTAGCTGATTCAACAGAATCGTCAAAATCTTCATTGTCCAATGAATTTTCTGGATTTTGTTTACACATTGACATTATATTTGATTCGAGTTCATCACTAGCTTTGTGGACTAAATCTAATGGGACGGCATTCATTTTTAGAGCAAGTTGAAGCTTTTCGCGTGCTTTATTCCACCATTCTATAAAAAATTGATTTTTTAAATTTAAAACAATCTATATATTGGCTAATTTCCCGGGATAACATTTTTTTGACTATGATAAAAAATTTTCCTCGCCCCCGAATTTTCCAGCATTTTTAGAGACAAGCGGGCCTGTAACTACAAAATTCTTCTAACGGTTTTTCAACTAAATAATCGATATCAATCTTTAGCCAATCAATCAAAAAAAATTTTTAAATAAAATGGAAAAAGACTATTAAAGTGAACATAGAGAGAAGGGGAAAAGTCCGCAAAAATTTTTTGCGGAAATCCACAAATTAATCTTTATATGTGAAATTCTCTACATTTTAGAGACCCCACTCAAATAAAAAAATAAATTCTAAAATTAAACCTAACCAATTGACTGATACATTTCACTCCAACAAATATAAAATTTTGCCAAATTGCGACAAGATCCTTTAAGGTAAGCAAATTCCATTACAGCAAGACTGCTTTCTGGGAAATTCTCAGCTAATTTTAGCCAAATTTTTAAAAGGCGTTCATCATTCTTGTACATATCCATATTGCAATAAGTAACACAAATTTTGTACAAAATTGGGTAAAAGAAGTTTCTCTTCCCACTAGGGAAATGTTCTTCAAACCAGGCGACATAAGTACACATTGAAGCTAAAGGGTCTTCTTGCTTTTCGGCTTCCAAAAGTTCTTTTTGAAATTTCTTTTCTGCTTCGTCTACGGATATCTAAGAATTCATTTGAAATAATTTTAAAAAAATAACAATAAGTGAAACCTTTGAAATTGAACTAATCACTTTATTTAAGGTATCCCCACGTCTTCCGCCACGAAGAGGGCGAAAATTCTCAACGTTATCGAACCATTGTTGATCTTCATTTAAATTAGAATTGTCTAGACTCATCTTAAAAATGAAAAAATTAAAGAAAAAAATTTTAGAAAATTTCTTAAAAAACACGGAAAGCTTGAAAAAATTTTAAATTTAATTTGCATCGATTTATTTTTTGGCGTTCTGCCCTATTTTTTCATTTTGGATAATCGAACAAAACCCTTCATTTCACTAAAAATCTTGGGTGAAATTTGCAAATTTTCTTTATTTTTTCTATCGCTTTTTTGTAAATTTTTTTTTATTTTTTCCTTTTTTCAGGGTCAGAAATGATTTCTGATGCCACCTATATTGAAATGCTTAAAAACTGCTCAAAATGGAACAGTCGAGTAATGAGTGGAAGAACACGTTCACAAACTGCTGTTTATGACCAACAGACTGGAGTAATGCATCGGTATTTTTAACCTTAATATTTTCTTTACTTAACGATTTTAGCCCTACTGAGCACCTTTTTCGAACGGCTTCTGAACGTTGTCGGTCACGAAATCCTATGCAGGTTAATTTTTTGAGTACAGCCCAAAACGGCACGCGGCCATAACGGCGCAAAGCCATAACTTTGCTGGAAAATGTCTGGCGTTCGTCAATTTTGATACCAATCTCCCTAGCTCAATGAGAGGAATCGTTTGATACTAAATCTGCTAAGATTAGGAAATCTTGAAGCAAGTTATGGCTTTGCGCCGTTTAGCCGCGCGCCTTTTTGGGTGTGTCCCTAAATTTAATATTGTTATTCGTTCCTATTTTCTTTCACAGGTCTATGTTTATACTCCACAACGTTGGGTCCGACCCAAAACTACGCCCTCTGCTGCTGTTGAAACAAACTACTTTCTTAAGAATAATCCAACTTTGAGGGACGTTCTCAACTCTAAAGACCCAACTCAATTGTCTTTATTGTCGAATGCAGATTCAACATCAAATGATCAGGCACAACAGTTATATACCAACATGTCTGTCCGTTCGAATATGTCTTATATGGGAGGGAATGGAGGCACAAAAATTTATGTTTGTGAACTTATTCTTTATTATTATCAGGGAATTTTCATGGTCTTTTTTTTTGTATTTTATTTGACATTCCTGGGTTCTAAATGGATTTTCCGCAAGCTGCCCTCTAAAAAATTTTGAAAAAATTCTAAAGATTTAAATTCAGGACAATGATGTAGACCTGAACGATTATGATTTAGACGAGCCTGAATTAAACGAACAATCTGATGAAGATGATTGGGGCTCGAACAAACCAAAACAACGCAAAAGAGGTGGCGGTGCTGTTGTTGGAGGCCGTCCTCTTCTTGGCCGTCCACCTAAGAGATTAGCGAATGCAAACGTGGGTGGTTCCGGCGGTTCTACTCCAAATGTTATGAGAATTGCAAAAAATGGAGAGCAAGTCGATTCTCCTGGTTATATGGGTTCTAGTGGTGCAAATGACGATGGGAGATCTGTGGCCGCTCCTCCTCCAGATATTCGTCCATTTGTTTGCCAATGTTGGTTTTCAATAAAATTTTTTTGGGTGTTTTAGGGGTATTTTTCGTGGTCAAATGAGCTGGGAATTGTTCCAAGCCAAAATAAATTTTTTAGAGTAACAAGTCTGACCTTCACTCGACTTAAGCTCCGAATACCCAGCCTACCCCTCGAAATAGTCAAAAATAAAAATTTGGGTTTCAACTAGAACATTACCCCCAACTTTTCTTAAATTTAATTTTTTAAGTCTGTGGAGCCAAATACAAATCCAGACCAGGCTTAACTTATCACCGCGCCCACACTCATCAGGCAGAGATCGCAGCCACAAAAAATGATGTGCCACCAAGTCCTAGTACGCCCTTTACTAACACTTCAATTTATTAACTTTTTTGATAGTTTCCCCCTAAATACTTAAAAAGAGAATATTTCTAATATTTAATATTTTTTTTGTTTTTAATGAGGCCCTTTTTTATGCTTGAGTTAAAATTTAGTAACATATTTCTATATAGCTTATTTTTGCCATTTTTTTAAAAAATTGTAATAAAAACTTAAATGCAATATATATTGTTTGTTGTTGTATTTTTTACTCTTAAATAATAAGCAGTCTTTCAATCTGAGACTTATTTTAAAATAAAATATTTTTCATTAATTTTTATTTCTAATTTTTTGAAAATTGTTTTTGTTTATGTTCATCACATTGACAGATTGCTTATATGAAGAGAGAAAATTTTCGACAACAAAAACAATTTTTTCGGAAAATTTTTGGAAAATTTTTGAATTTTTACTCAAGCAAAAATTAATCGTTTAAGCATTTCTGTCAATGTTATTGAGGGAATTTTTTAATTATCAAAAATATTTTTTAGTGATATCTTCAAAAGTACAAGCTTCGGATTATTGTGACTTTTGTCTTGGCGATTTGACAAAAAATGCGGCTGGGAAAGCTGAAGAATTGGTTTCCTGCCATGGTTTATTTTGTGACCCAGTAAAAACATTTCTTTTTAATTTTCAGATTGTGGACGCTCTGGTCATCCAACTTGCCTTAAATTTACTAAAAATATGTTGATCTCTACTAAAAGGTTTTTTAGCTTTTTAATTGTTAAAGATTAATTTCATTTCTCTGAAGATATGGCTGGCAATGCATTGAGTGCAAAGCCTGTAGTATTTGTGGAACTTCAGAGAATGATCATCAACTGCTTTTTTGGTATGTTAAGTCAATTGAGTAACAGGGATGTCACGAGGGTTGAGAAAAAGTCGTGTCGGATCTAAATTTTCTTCGGATCGGGGAAGTTGGAAATTCGGGTCGGGTCAATTTTGGAGATTAAGAAGGAAAGTTCCGGGGTTGGAAAATTTCCCGGATCGGGTCGGAAAAAGTCCAGGATCCGGGTAATCCTACCATTTCATGTTTATAATTCTCTAACAATAATTTTTTAGTGACGACTGTGACCGTGGCTTCCACCTTTACTGCCTAAAACCTCCGTTGCAAGTGCCACCCGAAACTGATTGGAGTTGCCATTTATGTATTCAGGCGTTTGGCGCAAATGCTTCAATTAATAAATCACATTAAGAAGTAATGCTTTGTATGATCTTTTAAATTAAACGACATAATTTTCTTAATACCTGATATTCTGCATTTTTATATTAAATTCTTTTCACATTTGTAATTTTTTAAATGTATTATTAAAGATCATGAAAATCTTAGTGAGGAGTGGTTAGGTGGTTGGTTAGGCCTTTCTTCATATCCTGCTTTCTCCTCCACCCCAGCCCTAATCAGACGTGTTTTTTATGTTACCGAGTATGAGTTGTTTTTAACTTAAAGTATTGATTTTTGATTTGGCCAGCGGAGGATTTCTGATTTGGCCAGCGGAGGAACCGATCGAGTGGTTCCGCTAAAAACCAGACCGAAAAGCCCGAAAACGGCAGGATGATCGGGCGCGCCCCAACCTTAGCTGATCAAATTCATAAGCTCACATTACTTCTTTTAATCATTAGTTAAAAATATTTTAATTAAATTAAAGAGATATCTTAGTTTTACATATTTTAATTTACACAATTTAAATGTAATTATCATGCATCAACTGCCCATTCATTTTCCTTCTCAAAGTGTTCTACCACTTCACGCATTGCGAGATTTGGAATAAGTTGGTCGGCCGTTAATCTTAAACAAAATGAGAATTTTGTGACAAATAGGATAGCCAAAATCCTCTTCAGATACTGAAAAAATGTGACAAAGCATAAAAATCCTGTTATAAACCGAAGGCCACAGGGAGAAGAAAAATGAAAATTTCTCGAAGAATGAAAAAAATTTCCAACAGAAATTCCTTTAAAATTTCCCCACAACCCAGGGTCCTAATAAGCAGGCCCGTAGCCAGGATTTTTTTCGGGAGAGGAGGGGGGCAAAGGGGGAAAATTTTTCTTCGCCAAATTTTTTGCGCCCCCTAGCTACGGGCCTGCTAAAGACCATTTAAATTTCCGATTCCTACCCAAAAACCAATCTAAAATTAAATTTTATAAACTCTTACGGAACACGTGTAACAGGATCGAAATGTCCAACTCTATGAAGATGTGTCAAAATATCATTTCTGTCATAAGTTATTCCACTTGGAGTTATCACAGGATCTCTAAGAAGTTCAAAACTAATTTTTCCACAAAGAAAGTCGGGTATTTCTCGTCTCTTTCGACGTTCATCGACCTCAAAAATTTTTAATTTTTAATAAAATTAAAATTTAAAAATTTTTACTTGGGCAAACAAATCGTTTAGTTGTGCTTTACTAGAATCTGCTTTTGTTTTGATTTCATCAATTTTGTCGTCTAATGACTCGCCGCCATTTGACGAAACCTTAAAAATATTTTATAAAAAATTACTACAGTGCTGGTCAAAAGTATAGCCGCACCTGAAAAAACGGTGTAACTCCGGACTGAGTTAGCCAATTGTTATCAAATTTCGCATAAAAATATTAGATTATATGAGAAACATGATAACATTAAAAGTTTTTAAAATTATTAGAAGGAATTAAAAAAAAATCAAAATTTCCAAAAAATGCCAGAATTTTTACTGGTCAAAAGTATAGCCGCACTTTGGATTTTTATGTTTCTAATTATAGGAAAAATCTACAATAATTTCACATAACATATTTATCGATACTAAGAAAAAATAAAAAAGAACTAGGCCCATATCTCATTTTAACTTCGAGATCTCGATACCTTGAAAATCAACGTTTATCAGGGGTAAGGCTCTTTAAAAAATATTTTCGACCCCTTATGGATTATTTTAAATTTTTATTTTAGGCTTATCTGAAAGCCCTTGAAATTTGCTACAAGGCACCAAAAATCTTATTTTTCAGAAAAAATATTTCGGTTGGTTACTAAGAGTTAAATTTCTATGTCACCAAAAAACGCTTAAATGCCCCATAAATTGCCCTTTCAAGACACTTCGGAATTTAACTGACTGTATCTCTCTTTGGAATTTTTTCTGAAAAATAAGATTTTTGGTGCCTTGTAGCAAATTTCAAGGGCTTTCAGATAAGCCTAAAATAAAAATTTAAAATAATCCATAAGGGGTCGAAAATATTTTTTAAAGAGCCTTACCCCTGATAAACGTTGATTTTCAAGGTATCGAGATCTCGAAGTTAAAATGAGATATGGGCCTAGTTCTTTTTTATTTTTTCTTAGTATCGATAAATATGTTATGTGAAATTATTGTAGATTTTTCCTATAATTAGAAACATAAAAATCCAAAGTGCGGCTATACTTTTGACCAGTAAAAATTCTGGCATTTTTTGGAAATTTTGATTTTTTTTTAATTCCTTCTAATAATTTTAAAAACTTTTAATGTTATCATGTTTCTCATATAATCTAATATTTTTATGCGAAATTTGATAACAATTGGCTAACTCAGTCCGGAGTTACACCGTTTTTTCAGGTGCGGCTATACTTTTGACCAGCACTGTATTAGGAAACTGGTTTGACATTTACTAGGTTCAAGGCCACTAATTTTTAGAAGGGGGTTCGATTTTTTTCAGAATTATTGTTAAAAACCTAAGAGTTAAAAAAAACCTAAAGACCCTAAAGTTCCTCTATAAATTTTTTAAAAACCCAAATTTATAGAGGAACTTTTACATCTTAAAGACCATAAAACTTAAGGGTCGTAAAATTTATATTTTAACAGCTTGATGTCTATCACAAAAAATTGGGAAAACCCTCTTAAACAGGTAGATTGAAGATTATTTTCAGCCCACTTTCAGTCTCCATTATCCGTAACATGGATGTCAAGGTTGTCCCAACCCTCAGAAACCTAACATAAAGAAAATTTTTACATCCCGACCCGATTTTTTCTCCTCCTATAATATCCCTGAAAGTGATTGAGCTGAGTCTGGACCAAGACCTGGATTTCTCCTGTACCCAGAGTCCAGGTATTTTTTGACCTTCCTGGGTTTTTCCTGGCTAAAGGCCCAGGATCCGGTCCAGGTCAATAAATCAGACGAACAGCCGGGAACAGGCCCAGGCTTTTCAAAAATCTCGATACTAATCCCTGATTCTTACTTATGCCACAAGGATTTCCAAGAAAAAAGTTCCATATTTTTTATTCAAAAAACCTGTAATATGTCAATCTTATTCTTCACATCATCATCAATTAACAAATTTAGATAACTTTGCAATTCAATTTCTTGGTTGATTCTAGCCTCCTCTTCTTTCCTAAACTTTTCTCTTTTTGCCTGTCTTAATAATTGAGTGATTTCATCTCCATAAGAATGTCGTTGTTTTATTTCATATTCATGAGCCCGAGTTAAGACTTTGGCTGCCTGAAAAAGTAAAAATAGAAGTCGGAGTTTAAAAATAGAAAGACGCGGTATTTGGGAGTTATCGCAGCAAGTTTATGACAGACAACTTGAAAACTGACTGATTTTTGAGAAAATATTGAGGATTGGAAGGTCTGCACCCAGGGAAGGGTCGGATTAGCGAAACCAAGATTTTTCTTTCGACCCTAAATCAAAAACCCGGACAGGAGAAAACTGTGAAAATCCGATCTGAATCACTACCCGATTCTTTTCTCAATCGGCCTGCCATTGCTTCATGTCGGTATAAATTTTAGATCGCACAAAAGTACCAGTTTTGGTTTTCTAAGTCGTTGAATGGAAAACGTTGACCAACCTATTTTTTTAAATATCAGATTGATTGTGAATAAAACCCAAACTCCCCAAATGATTTAAATGGAAAAAATTTATGGGAGGCAATGAATTAAAAAATATCTTAAACAAACACCTAAAAAATTCTATAAAAATTAAAAAATAACCTCATCATACTGCCCCAACTGCATATAAACCTTTCCCAAATAATAATTCGCCTTAATATTCTTCCTATCCAAGTCCAATGCCTAAAATTATTTTTCAATTAAAATTAAAAAATTATCAAAAAAATAACCCTTCTACAATCCTCAGCTGCCGATTCCCACCTTTGCAAATTCAAATTACACAGAGCTCTGTTAGTAAAATATGTTGGCTCTGTAGAATCCTTTAAAAAGGAAAAAAAATTTTTTTCTAAAAAATTTTTTCAATTAAAATTTTGGCAATCCAATTTGATATATTTATGGGAGGCAAAGAATTAAAAACCATAAATGTCCTAAATTATGCCCCAAACACCCAAAAATTTATAAAATAAAAAATGAGGAAAAATGGCTCTTTCGATATTTCTGAGGCTTCCAAGTAATTGAGTGTCCTGAGTCAGAATACTAACACTAAGTTCAGATTCTGACTCAGGACACCAGACTGTCTACTGGTATGCCTCAAAATATCGAAAAAGCCATTTTTCCTCATTTTTTTCCTCGAATCTTAAGGATTACCAAAATTTCAAAAAAAAAAAAACTCACTTTAATAATAGCTCGATTATAATGTGCAAGAGCATCCTTAAAAATTAAAATTTTATTTAAAAAAATTTTTAAAACTTAAAATAACCTCATATCTGCCTTGTTGATAATACTTATTGCCCTTTTCTTTGTGTTCTGATGCTTCAAGAATTAAGGATGCCATTTTATTTTTAAAATTTTCTTAGAAAAGGATTCAAATTTGGTTAAATGATAAGAAAGATAAGAACCCTAGAAAAATTCTGATAGTAAAAGAAAAAATAAAATTTTAAAAAGATCAAAAAGAAGGCCGAAAAAGAGAAGAAAAATACAGCTGGATAAAAAAATAAAAAATACACAACGCCAATAAAATTATTTTTATTTATGTATTTACAGTAATACGAAACAAAAGAAACGTGAAGCATTGCTAATCATTCTAGTGTTTAATCAAAAATTAATTTAGCTTACAGTCTTTATGTGGCCCAAAAGTCCGCAATCTCTGTTATGTGGCCTAAAAGTCCGCAAATTTTGTCCGCAAGTTTTTTTTCAAAAAGAGAATTACTGGTCAGATTTTATCAAAAGGATTATTTTATAGGTAAATATTAAATAGGTGTATCTCTAATAATACACCCTCTCTCTAATAATAGAGCCTGACAAGGAGAAACGCTTTGAAAAATAGAAGGATATTTAACATAATAATTTACAACATATAAAATAATTAATTTATTAGAAATATAAAATTCGATAAATTCAGTATAAAATTAAAAAATAAATCAGTAAAGGGAATAAATTTGACAATAAATTTAGAGGTACATAAAAATTAAAATTGGCGTATTATTTGAATATAAAATTTAAAGATTATTGTTTTTGATTGAACTTCTCGGCACACTTAGTCTTGTTCCATAGGGGACATTTGAAACAGCTGAAACTAAATCTTGTGGAATATTTGTTGGCTCAATTACTGAAAGAATAAATATTTTTAAATTAAAATTTGCTTTGAGAATTAATTTTAAATTAGTTGAGAACTGACAAATGAATACTTTTAAATTTCCTTTTACAGTGCCAGAAAATAGATAGGGCCAGGGCTGTTAAATTAGCTTTTATAGCTCATCTCTTTTTTATTGGCATAAAGGAAAAAAGTTTCAACAAAAATTTTATGCATTTAAGCAGACTAGGACACGGATATTGTTTTGGTATCCGTATCCGGATATTTACAGCGGATACAGGCGGATACCCGCAAGCATTTTTATCATATCCGTATCCATATCCGTATCCATGTCTTAGTCTGCCTTTAAGTACTCTTTAAAACGAGCACTTTAAAATGAGCACTCTTCTCTTCACTCGCCTTTCACTCTTTTCTTTACTCTTCTTCTTCATTCTTCTATCCTATATTCTAGCAACAATGATCTCGAGGGTTTAAGAAGGGAGAGATTCGACTGTATTTACTTCAGATTTCAATTAAAAATATTTTTTCCCTTTTTTTAAAAGTTTTTCTTTGCCAAAAAAATTTTTTTACACCGAACACCGTCAAGAAAAAATCAAATTTAAAAAGAAATCAAATTAACAGTAGTCTTACCATTTATTCTTATATCGGCTGTCTCATTATCCAAAATCACTTTTAGACAACCACAGCATCCTCCCATTGTTGATGATTTTTTCTTTTTTTGTTCTCAGATTTTTTAAAATTTTTTTAAATTTTTTTTTAATTTTTTGAGAGAGTAATTTTTGAATTTTAATTGAATAAAGACTGAATAATAATGAATTAATTAAAAATAGATTTGTTTTTATTGTGTGAGTTTTGGTTTATAAATACATTGTATTAAAAAAAGAATTTACCCAAGAATGTAAAGGAAGAAAAAAAAGAAAAATTGCCATGGATACGCAAAAAAGAATCTTTTTGTTTATTACTTCCCTTAATTTTTAAGTGAACAAAGATTGGCACTAAAATTTTAGATATTGAAACAATCACCAAAAAGGCAATTTTCTGTTCAAATTAGGCAATTTTTCAAATTATATTTACTGATTGCAAGGAGAAAATTAAAAATTCCAACTACCAAAGAAAATTTTGATAAAAAAACGAAAGTGGTAAAATGCTCCACTTTATAAGTACATACTACTGCCAAGAGAGTAAAAACACAAATTTTAATAGGAGGAAAATGAGACGCTATCATTCAAAATGAATGAGAAAAAAATTAAACAAGTTTCAAGAAGGAATTAAATTTTATGGTTAAGGCAGGTTTTCCCTACCTAATTTTTTTCGAGGAGATCTGACTCCTTTCTTCGTTCTAGAAGTCTCAAAAAATTAAACCAAACAAAAATTTATACAGAAATAAACACGCCAATAATTCTTGGAGGAGGCGAATCTCCAAAGACAAAAATATGAAATACAATATGAGTTATAAAAAAATCAGAATAGCATGAGTTACAAAAAAATCAGGGGCATATAGAAAATAGGAGAACCTAGGACAAACTATCTATTCCAAGCAACATCACTATTCTTCTCATTTTCGTCTATCCACCATCAACGTAGTTCTCCAAGTCCTGGAAGTTTGCGATTGGATGTCCGCAGTGTCGTCGGCGGCCAACCAATGAGACAGCATAGAAACTCCAGGGAGATTCTTCAGTCACAATTTTCATATCAGCTGGGCATGAAGAGAGGTGGTGAATACACCTAGAAACGTTAAAAAGGCTTTATTTATTTTTATAAAAGGTTATAAACTCACAGAAGGTATCTAGTCCTATGGACCATGTCTCCAACCTTTCTTTTTACTGAACGAAGCCTAGGATTCAGAACCCATTTTGGTTCTATACGCTCGCGAACATACTCAGCTAAGGCAGTTTTGGATGTGAATTCTCTATGAATGCGCCAGTCAGGTTGAACATGTTGAGACACCCCGAACAAATCAGCATCAGAGGCAGTGTAGTTGGAGGTATCTTAAAGGGATTCATAAGAAATGAATTATCACTGCTAATTAAAAAGGCTTACTTCTGGTAGGCACGTCAATTCTACCAGAAGGTTGCATCTGATGAGTCGACGCAAAGAACGCTGCCGGGTTCGAAGAAGTACCACTGAACGTATCTAAAAGAATTTAGAAACACTATTACTTACTACACTCTAGAAAACTCACTACTTCCAACAGAAGACAACTCCTCCACTCGTTCATACAAACTAGGCGCAGCTTGCTGTTGTTGCACGTCTCGTTGAAGTTCTTCTGGAGCTGTTGAGGAGGAACTAGGCAAGGAACTATGCGCTGCATACAAGTGACCTGGAGAAGCTTGCTGTTGTTGGACTTCAGGTTGAAGTTCTTCTGCGGTCGAAGTGGTAGCACTCTGAGACATCATGATGGTTGAGCAGGAGAAGTATGGCAAGTACAAGAAGCTGGATAATGAATAAATCCTTGCTTGCTTAAATAGTAAAAATTTCCAATTGAGATCACGTAATATATGAACAAACAGGCTTAAAATGAAAAAAACCTAATCCTACTCTACCCTAATTAATCTTATTCTACCCAGTTTATTTCTGTTCTAATTAAGAAAAGTTATTCGAACAATTGTTTTTTTACAAAAAAATTTATTTTTAAATTTTAATTATTTAATTCAATCACTCTATCACATAATTCTTCCAATATTTTTGAACGTTTCTTAAGACAATCTAAATCGAGAATACTATCGTGAACAACATCTTCACATTTAATCAAATTTAATCGCTTAGTTAAACAAGCCCATCCTCCATCTACAGATCCGCCAATATAATCGCTGAATTGTCAATTGATTAAATTTAGTGAACAATGGCCTTTAAGGCTTTGGGAAATTCTCCAATATTTTTTAGAAAATGGATTTCATCTTTTAAAAATGCAGGAGAAAGATTTTTAGAAAATTTCAGAAAATTTTTTTCAAGTTTTTTCCTAGCAGTTCAATCACATAAGAGCTTATCTCCCATTAATCCCATTTACAATAAAAAATCAAAAAATGCCAATAGAAAGTCTATTTCTGAACCAAGATTCCTTTGTTAAATCGAGCCTAAAAAAGGGACCACTCGAGAAATAAATTCGAGTGGTCCTTTAAAATCTAAAAAAATTATTAAAATGAAATTTAGAGTGCTCATCAGGGATGGACGCAATTGCGGATTGCGTAAATTAAGTGTTTTTTGACTTGCGGATTGTGTTTGCGGATTGCGTTTGCGGATTATAAAATTAAAACTGCAGGTTGAGGCTGCGTAAAATTTTTCTTCAATTGCGTCCATCCCTGATGCTAATTCCTCTCATTAAGAATGAGCATTCTAAAATAATCACCTAAAAACCAGTTTAATTTTCTTCTCAGCAGTAAAAAGCCAAATTTCCGGAGAAAGTTCAATATTAGCATTGAATTTGTGTGTGCGTAAAAATCCTGCCAACTTTTCCGCTCCAATAGAAAGAGAATTACGTTGATGAATTGAAAAGTGATTGAAACGATCCTAAAAAGTGCCGTAGGATTTTTGACAAATTTTCTGGATAAATTTACCAAAACAAATTGTTTGGCTTTTTTAGGGCTTATTAATTCTTGTCCAGCAGCCCAAGAGTCAAACATTACAACTAGAGGAATTCGCAAATTTGAGAAACAATTTAAACATTTTTTGTTCAAAATAAGAGCAATTTCATAAGCGAGAACACCTCCTAGAGAATGGCCAATTAATAACAAAGGAGTTTCTTTTGTGTAGGCTTCAATCTGAATAAAGGTGAGAATTAAAATTTGGTATTTTGCTATTCAGTCGGACCTCGCTATAGGATAACCCATTATTAGGTACAACTCTATTTAAGATCCCTTAAATGTCCTACTAGAAGCTCAACCTAAATAAAATTTGGGCTTTTTTAAGAACGCCTAAGAGACCCACCTAAAAATAAAAGCCCAAGAGGCTTCTATAAGAATGTTTGCGGTACGTTTTTATGCCCTTCGGTTGGAGGGAGATATCAACGATAAAAACGAGTCCTCGAGCTTTCGAACCTAAAGCTCAGACGACACTAGAATCACAAAGAAAATTCAGGGAAAGTATCACTTCTGAGTAAAAAATTATTTATTCTAAATAGTCGGTGATCCATAGGGGAGGACAACTTCCATGGGCGTCTATTAGAATAAGTATAAATTCCATTGATAAACTGCCCAATTTCCTCACCTTTTCAGCATAATATTTAGCCAATTCCCCCAAACTTGAAGCTTTATTAATCAAAGAATCAGCTTCAAAAGCATATTGAACACCCACAACATTTGCCCACAACGGCAAAATTCCAGCCAAATGTCGATATAAAATAGCTGAACCACTAATTGGATGAATACAAAAAATATTTAAAGGTTTTAGGTTGTTTAAATTTTTTGTTGTTTCATTTCGAAGTGGTAGAAACAGAGGAAGAAATGTTTGGAAATTATTGGCATCTTTTTGTAATGTTGCTTGTGTTGCTTCTTTTGTTACTTAAGTTTTGATAATTTTATAAAAAATAAATGGTGAAATGCTACAAATAAGCCATAAAGCCTGACTTCATTATAAGACTATACCTTTAGGGGTTGAAAATTTTTTCTCGCATTCATTTGAAGAGGGAGACACCTATGTAAGCTTATAAGACACTTATATCTCGCTAACCAAATTTAAAAAAGGCATATCTTAGACCAAGGGGTATTTAAACTTGAAGGTACTACAACCACTAGAACTTAAATAATCTTATACTAGATATTAACAAGTATACGATTTAGCACAAAAAATTCATTTCCTCAAAGTACCTCTCAATTTATTTGAAGTTTCTCCTTCATTTTCCTCTAAATTTTTGGTTAAATTTTTGTTTTTCCCTTGTTGATCAAAATATTCACTTTCTTCTTTATTATTAATTATTTTCCAAATTTCTTCAACAAAATCACCAATTTTTGGATATTTAAAAATTAATTCAATGCTTAATTGCCCATAAGAAATATTTAATTGTTTCGACAATTCCCAACTTATTTGTGCTGCTTGGATTGAATTTCCGCCCGATAGAATAAAATTTTTTTCTCCTAATGCCTCTCCCGAGGCAAAAGGCATATAATCGTTCCAAGTCTGAAAAGAATTTTTTTAGAAATATTTTTTTAGTTTTTAAAAGTTTAAAAGAAACAGAGCTTATTGTCAGATCAAACAAACGGAGGACTGACACGTTCTTCCGTTCTTATTTATCCTTGTTTGGATTTCCAATATTTCTCCAAATCCAGAAACAAAAAATACCTTAACAACAATCTCATGTAACTAACATAAGTAAACAAAAATTTAAAATTTGGGGAAATCTAAGGTGACTAGACATCATGGGAATTTTCAAAAAATTTTTTGATATTTTTGGAAAAATATTGGGCAACCCAAACGAGAACAAAAAAGAACGGAGTATATAAAATGTCGTTAAACTAGAGTTGCGCGAGATCGAGATTTTAGAAAAAATCCGAGACCGAGATATCGATCTCGCGCAACTCTACGTTAAACTAAGCAAAACTAGGACATTTTGTATAAGAACGTGTTGTTCTGCTGATTTTACAACACTCACATGACAGAGACATTTCAGTCAATTACTTACTTCTTCGTACGTATACATATTTTTTAGTGAAATGTAAATCGTAAACATGTTTACGAAGAAAAACCATGTCTCATGTTAACAACATGCTCGCCCAACCTTCTAAGTACAACAACAGCCCCCAGCCACAACCTTCTCTTTAAGTTCTGTTCTGTTTTAGTAAACGTTAAGGACGACTTAAAGGAAGGGAGACCGCCCAACCTTCTAAGTACAACAACAGACGCCCCCAGCCACAACACCTTCTCCTCTTTCAGTTCTGTTCTGGTTAGTAGACGTTAAGGACGTTAAAAGAAGGGGAGAAGGGCGTGGCTTTCTGTTTCTGATAAAAAAATGTTTTGTTTTTTTATTCTGGTTATAGTCAACGACTATTATGTTCTGTTCAATAGCCATCGATCTCCCGCTTCGAAATCCAAAAAATAAAAAAACACCTTAACAACAATTTCAGTCAATTTCTCCTTTGTTAGCCCTCCACCTTTTAATTTAACATTTAAATTTTCTTGCTTCACCTCTACAATCTTATTCTCTCCATCTACAGTAACCCTTTCATTTCCTTTATTTTTTGTGGATAAATTAAAAGGGACTAGCATTTCTTCTTTAGAGGGATTTAATTCTAAATAATCAAAATTGTATCCAGGCATTTTATTATCCCATTCTTCGTTGTAAGAGTTGAATAATAAGTTGAAATTGACTGAGTAACCATTCTAAATATTAAAAAATATTTTTAAAAATTAATTGGGAATTTTTTTTTTGGGGAAAAAACGGTTGATTTTCTAATATCCTTTCTATTAAATTAAATTTTTAAAATTCAATTCGAAATTTTTTGTTTTGTGATGGTTGGGGTTATTAGTTACTTGAATGAAGCAAGAGAAGCAAAAGTTTAGCTTCAGGCAGCTAGCTTCAGGTAGACTCTGCAACTTCTGGCAGTTATTGCTAAGCACTTCCGCTAGTTTTTTCCTTTTAATCTACCGATTGAACTCCTCTCACCTTCTCTTATAAGCTAAACTTCCGCCTACTAGCCAACTGGATCCTAGAGTTGGCCGGGATCGGGATCCCGGTCGGGATCGGGCGGGATTATCCCGGGTTTTTCGAATCCCGATCCCGATTTTTCTGATCCCGGTCCCGAAATAAATATCCCGATCCCGATCCCGGCCAATTTCAATCCCGAGCCGGGATCCGGGATCGGGATCGGGATGTGCATCAGATCCCGATGCAAATCCCGACTTTATAAATTGACTAGAAGTTAACACATTTAATCATTTAGAGACTTACATGCCCTTGGCCTTCCAAGATTAAAAATTATTGCCTGCGGCGCTTAAAAGGGAGTAAATCTGGCACCTTGGCCTTCAAAATTTTTCAAAATTTGGAAGGCCAAGGTGCCAAACTTTTCAAAAGGTGCAAATTTTTTGAAAATCGAAAGCCCAATCCCATTTATTCTCCCCCCCCCCCATTACCTTATCCCCCCTTAATACCCTGAACCGGAAAGTAAATCATGCGTCTATGAGACTTTAACTCAATATTTTAGCACCGCAGTGGAAATTTTAAAATTATATTAAGTCGTTTGTGAAGAAAATAAAAATTTAAAAGTTAAAAAAAAATTTTTTTAGTAAATCCCGATCCCGAGTTTTCAATCCCGGTCCCTATTCGGGATCGGGACCGGGATCGGGATCTCTAGTCCAAATCCCGATCCCGATTTCGGCCAATCCCGATCCCGTGTCGGGATCCGGGATCGGGATCGGGATCACCATTCCAAAATCCCGATCCCGGGTTTTTCTCTAAATCCCGATACCGGCCAACTCTACTGGATCCTCGGTCTTGTTTACATTGATCAAAGAAGATTACCCTCTCTTTCCCAAAAAAAACGAAAGGGAAAATGAAGCCGAGCTCTATCAAAGCTGATAATTTATTTATTGACCTGCCAAATTTGGGCTATTGCCTTCAACAATTGTGGCGGCTCTTCTTTAATTTCTCCAGTAAATCTTCTTTCTCTTTCCATTGTGTTTATAACTTTAATCTTTTTATTTAAATTAATTTCCAAATCATCCTCAGTTTCTTTTAATAATTGAGGTAAAATGCCGGGAGGGCCAATCTCTAATAGAAGCGAAGTATGTGAATAATCACGCAATATGCTATAAATAAAGAGGATTTTTGTGAAAATTTAATTGTAGTGTAAAAGTATCTAATCCTTTTGGATATTTTAAAAATCCAAAAAATTTTTTTGGGGTTTTTTGAAATTATTTTTGTACAAATTGACTTTGAAAAAAAATTAAAAAAATTTTTTTTTTAATTTAAAAATTTTTTTAAAATTTTTTTTTTAATTTAAAAATTTTTTTAAAGATTCTTTGTAAACCCTTTGTAAAATTATTTTAAAACAAAAAATAATTATCAAAATTTTTTAAAAATTTCCCTCACGTTTGAAGACACAAATCAACTCTCACAGTTTCAGACAATTGTCTAGTTAAATATTCGAGAATATCCAAAGCCCTCAATTCTTTTCCATCCAAATTTGAAAGAACAATTCCTTCCAACATTTTAATTTTTTTATTAAATAATTTCAAAAGAGAAAATTTAAAATCTTCAAGTATAGGGGCCATAAACTCTTTGGAATGATATCCAAAATTTATTTTTTCCAAAATTTTTGTTGAAATAATTTTTTGATTGTTCTCCTCTTTGTATGCTTGATTTGCTAATTTTTCGATAATTGAAGGCTTCCCAACGTAAACAGAAATTGTAGGAGAAAGACGAGCAGATAGATAAACTTGGTGAGGGAGTTTTAACTGTTAAATAAATGGATGAGATTAAAAATTGAAAGAGTTCGAACGTCCAAACTGCCGGATTTGGTTTCCGGTTTCGAACTCTAATAAGTATTTTAATTAAAAATCCAGAAGGGCTCTATGGAACACCGGAAACTAATTTTTAGAAAAAAATTTTGGCTGGAAAAAAAATTAATTTTTTTTCTCAAATTTTTACTCAGTCCCGGAACTTCTACCAAATTAAGTAAGTTCTCCAACAATTCTATCATAAATTTAATTTTGTAAATAAATTATGCGAGGAGATTAGAAAATGAATAGCAGAGCTGGGTCGTAATTCCGATTCCCGACGTTTTTTTCCTTCCGATTTCCGAAAAAATTTTTATTTCCGATTTCAGAGTTCCGACTTTTGAGCCAGTTCCGATTTCCGACTCTTCCGATTTCCGACACCTCTAACTGTTCCGACACACCTCTGATAATTAGGACCCAACATCTATGATAAGCCTTAAAACTGAATTAAAGTAGTTGCTACTTTGCTAATTTTTTTCTAGCTTTTTATTGTCTGTAGCAGGAGGAAATTAATGAATATTTAATTTCCTCACCAAATTTTGATTTTGACTCTCTTCCTGTTTAATCATCACCATCTTTGCAGGTTCAGTCCTTTCAATCAACTCTCCCCTTTTCCACAATAATTTCATTCCTTCATTTTTAGTAAATCCCCCAGCAGCACAGAGTGCAGAAAGCTCTCCAAAACTGTGTCCAAAAAATATAATTGGGGCAGAATTAATTTTAAAATTGCAAATTTCTGACAGAAAAATCCACAAAGATTGGTAAATTGCAAAAAGAGCGCATTGAATGATGGAGGGGGAAGGGGAAAGATTTTTTGAAAAAATTTTATTTTTAAAATTTTTTTCTTCTTTAATTTCATCCATTAAATAATTAATAAGTTGTTGAAAATGTTCTTCATTATTCCCGAGTTGTTTGCAGATATCAACAAGTTTGTTGTTTAATGAGGGAAATAGAGAACGTTCGGTTTTAAACATGCCGGGAAATTGAACTAAAATAGAAGAGAAAAGTCAGAATGAAGTAGAAAAATTCTGATTTTCAGAAAATTTCTAATTTTCTGAAAAAAATTCTGATTCTCTGAAAAATTCTGATTTTCTGAAAAATTTCTGAAAAATTCTGATTCTCTGAAAAATTCTGATTTTCTGAAAAATTTCTGAAAAATTCTGATTCTCTGAAAAATTCAGATTTAAAAATTCTGATTTGAAATATTCTGTAAACTTTTTCCGATTGAATTACAGAAAATAATTCAATCAAAGAATTAATCCCTTTTAGATTTCAAGACTCAAACGTACTCTATTGTCGTAACTCTAAAAGTCAGATGGCAGACAGAGTAGAATAACCTACTCTGTGCTCTCTAACATTTTCCTTTGTTTTTAATTATTTAAAAAATTTTTTTAATTAATTAAACTCGCCTCCTTGTGGGCTAAAAAACACAGCCAAGTTTTCATCATTATTACCACAATTCTCTTCAATATCTTCATTATTAGCAATCCTAATTAATCCTTTAGTTAATTCTTCTAAATTTCTGGCCAAAACAAAAGCTCTAAAGCGTTGATGATTTTCACGACGGGAAAGGAGGGTGTTGGATATTTCGTCCAACTTTGGAGTTTTCTGAAAAAAATTTTTTTGAATTTTAAAATTCTTTTTTGCCTCTTTAATATATTCTGCCAATTTAGAAGCGAAACCACGCAAAGAATTCTTTGATTCTGCAGAAATAGGGAAAAGACGGTACTGAGTAGCTTCTTTGTTAAATAAGCCTTTATGAATCTCTGAGACTTTTTTGTTGTCTTTTCTCCATTCTGAAGCAGCTTTTTTGAGTGAATCATTTGTTAATCCACTCATAATAATTACTGCTCCATTTGTTCCTCCAATACCAAAATTACTGGATCCAAAATAAAGAGGAGCCTTAATTAAAGAAAAATTTCTTCGTGATAACTAATCTTAATAGGTCATTATTACAAATTATTTACATATTTACTGAAAATATTTCTCATTTTCAACTAATCCTCCCTATGCCCTAAATGGAATATGTAAAAGTAAAACAACATATTTATCCGATTCTCTATTTAATAGACCTCCTAAATTGTTTCTTTATCGGGACAGATGATGAATTCGGAAGGTACGGAATAAAAACTGGTCTTCGTAACTCGGTAACAGTAATTCTAGCCCATTTCTGATTATTAGAATACTAAAAGGTCATTAATGTTGTCAGCTCCTTTGAAATCCCAAGATATCTCAACAAATTATTTTATTAATATCAAGACTTCTTTTCAGATCAGGATATCTGGATCCACTGACCCTAGTCATTGCAATTAAATCACAAAAAAATTTATTACATTTATTTTTGAGGGTAATATTTCCTTTGCCTCGCTTCCAGAGTGGATCATCAATTGGCCATTAAAAGGATTTAGAAGATCCGCAAACATAACATCATTATTAGGCAATAGTAGTGGGGGTAATAGCCCCGTTTCTAACATTTTTAAAAGCTTGATAAGTGAACAAATGCCAGAAGCAGCAAAACAATGCCCAATATTTGCTTTACAAGATCCAACAAATAAATTACTAATTTCCTCTCCTTCAGTCTTTTCCTTAAAAAATGCCTGGTAAATAGCGGAAAGTTCAATATTGTCTCCAATAGTTGTCCCAGCAGCGTGACATTCCCAAAAGGGGATTTCATTTCTAGGAACCCCACTTTGCTCTAATGCCCTTTCAATAACAGCTTGTTGTCCTTCTATACTCGGGGACATAAAGTTGGGTTTTCTGCCAGCATCGTTATTTATAGCTAAGGATTTTATAATCCCTAGAACTGGATCTCCTCTCAAAATTGGTTCTATAGGCTTCCCTAACACAATAACTGCACAAGCACTTCCTCTCATTAAACCATCTGATTTTGAGCAGAATGGCCAACTATTTGAGGATTTTGCTAGCGGTTGACCAGGCATTGGTTGATGGCCTATCTGGCTATAATTTTAACAAAATCTTCATTATCCTTTTTAATTTTTTACTCTGGGTGAACTAAGTGAACAGCTCCAACTAAGCAAAGGTCAGCTTCTCCTGTTACAAGTGCTTGTTGTGCAAGAGCAATTGCCGAAAAGGAGGAGGAACATGCAGAGTAGACATTTATTGAAGGCCCAGTTAATTCAAGAAGGTGTGAAAGCCACTAAAAATTTATTTAGGAAGCTCTATCTTATCCTACCTCAAACAGGACGGGAGGGTTCCCTCTTATCTCAGGGTTCAATCTCATCAATTCGTATTCCATTTTTGAATGGGATACGAAGGGATAAGCTTCTTCCTTTTATCTGGCATTGGAATAAGATAGAGTCTATAAAAATTATGAATTATACAACATAATTTACCTGAGCACAGAATGTCTGTTGGTTACGTCTGTACATGCCTAAAAGAGATCCAAGTGCACCTTCCCGTTCATCTACTTGTTTATACTCTGGAGATGATTCCTCTGCGGCAACAAAACCTAATTTTAGTTGAAAATCCAAATTAATTAAATTCAACTCTAAACTAACATCCAACGCGTATTTGACTTTTTCTTTGCAAATTTCCACTGTTTTCTAACGCCCTATAGCTGTGCTGTGCCAACAATCTGATTTGAGGGTCTAAACGGCGCCATTCAGTTATTGAAAGGCCCGCCTTTCCAAAGAGGTTGATGTCAAATTTTTCGATGTTAGGGCAGATGCCGGATATTGGGATTATATCTGGGTTGTTGGTTTTTAGTGTTGAAAGGCAGGAATGATTCTAGAAGATGAGATATTTAAAAATTTTGATTTTTCTTCCAAAATAAATCAGAGGAAGCAGGAATCAGAAAAGAAATCAGAAAATCAGAATTTAAAAAAATCAGAAAAAAATCAGAAGAATCAGAAAAAATCAAAAACTTACTTCCCTTATAGCTTCCCAAAACTCCTCCACAGATTCACAACCAGAAATAGTTCCAGAAACACCCAAAATTGCAACATCTTTTTCTGGCCTTATTAGCTTTAACCATTTCTCAAAATTAATTTTTTCTTCATTTTTATTCCCTTTCTCTTCAAATCTTCTAGCTACAACCCCCTCAATTATCACTAATTTATTATTTTCTTCATCCAAAATATCCACACTTCCACCAGCAAAATGGGATAACCCTTCATTATTTAATTGTGATTTCCCGATAGAGTAAATCTCTTTCGAATTTAAGTTCTTCCAAAAATTTATTTTAATTCTAGCAATTGAAATAGGCAAGAAAAGGAATTTTTTCTCCATTTGGAATAATCCAATAGCCAAACTTTGTAAACCAAATTCTATCAATTTCCATATTTGTTGCTTTTCATCGAATAAATTATTTTTAATTTTAGCCTTTACCAAGCAAATTTTTCTTGTTTCTTAAAATTAATTAAATTTTTGATAAAGCTGTAGAACTTTATTTTTCGATACCCCTAAAATTAGATACTTTCCTTAATTTACTAATTTTTTTTAAATTTGGTGGTCACTGGATTTGGGGTTGCCAGATCCTATGAACTCCCCGGATATCCGGATCCGATACGAGAATTTCCGATATCCAAAATTTTTTCGGATCCGTCAACATTCACTGGATATGGGGAGCTTTATAAGCGATACCCTCAATTTAAGTTACCCCGCATTATAAGGGTCTATTTCTCCCTCAAGGGAGTCTCTAAAAACGAGGTTCGAATGTTTACTAACTTTCGAGTTCATTTTCTTCAAAAACTTTTGCTTCTTTTATTAATGCCATTTTTGGACCATACTCCATTCCTATTTTCTTTAAACTATTGTAAAATTCATTGACATCAACAGTTGTTTTTTGCTCCTCATTAAAATTAAAGTTAAAATTCGTGTCGTTCCACCTTATTTGCCTGCAAAAATTTATTTTAATAAAAATTTAATAGAACTGAAAGCAGAGTGAGTCGAATTTTGATCGAGTTCGAATATCCTGGCTTGATCGCTTGGTACCATTGGTACCACCTACCCATGATCTTTTGCTGCTAAGTTCAAGCTTGGCGTTTTAGATCGGAAATAAACGAACTCGATTTTTTTTCTAAAAAAGGTTACTCGACGTACTCTGATTGAAACATAACCTTTCATTAGATTTTTCCAACATTATTTGACAAGAGGAAAAGCTTTGTGATCCTTCTTCCTCCGCAATACTTATTAATTCCATAAATATTTTATTAAATTTATTTTCTTCTTTTTCATTTATTTTGCTATTTTTACAAATTATTTTAACATTTTCCCATTCATTTAAAAACATTTTTCTATTAAATTTAATTTCTTCAACTAATAAACTTGTTTTCTCAATATCTAAATTTAAGCTTTTTAAACGCTCGATAAATTGTTGTATTTGCAGAGCTGCTGGTACTAAGGGTTCTCCAAACATTAAATGATTTTTGGATAATTCTAAAATTTCTTCCGAAATTTTATTATCGTCTTCTAACTCCAATTTTATATTTCTTCTCTCATTTCTAGTTGAAATTGGCCTGACAGACTTCTCTTCGACTCCTCTTCCCTCATTTTCTTCCATCCGTTTATTTAAATATTCCCCCAATTTTTCAACATTTCCTCGCTCAAAGAGGTCAATAATATTTATTTTTAGCCCAAATCTCTCCAATCTTTCATTTAACTCGCTTGTTAATTGATAAAGTCGTAAAGAGTCTAATCCCATTTCCATAAAGCCCAAAGAATTAAAATTTGAATTTTGAACAAATTCGAGGATTTTGTTTTCATTATTGTCATAATTCACAATTTTGAGTTGTTCTCGAATTGCTGACGTTATTATCTCTTCAAAATTGGGAATACTGAGGCTCTTTAAATTTCTAAATTTTTGAAAGTTTCTACTGTCTTCCTCAATTTTCTTAAAAAGAATTTTGCTTTCCTCTTCATTCTCCTCCTCATTCTCTTCCACAAACTCTTCAAATCGTTTATATAAACCTTCAAATTTCTCTTTCATCTTTTCCCAATCAAACCTTCCTATCATTAATTGTGTTGGTTTATATTTCAAGGCAATTTTGAAGCAATTCAAAGCTAAATTTGTTGAAAGGCCTGAAAGGCCTAGCCAGCCAAGTATTTCATTAGTTCCAGGCTTACGAGCTGCCATACCGACCTTAAAAATTTTTTAACCTTTGGTTTTTAAAGTTCTGTTTAGGAACAAAGGATAGTCTGAAAGCAACTTAGTAAGTAGTCTGTGGGGTTTTTTCCGAAATTCTACTCATTGAGTTTCAAGGGTTTATATTTATTTCTAATCGTTTTAGTCCCAAAGCGAAAGTTATAAACTAGAAATATGACTGGTAGGGTCGTATCAATATTTCCATTGATATCTTGAAAAATATCTATCTCGATAGCTAGACTGACCTCTATTATAAACCCTCAGGCAGTGATATCCAATTTTAAAAAAATTTAAACGTTTCCGAGTTCTAAACTATACTCACGTCATCCTCTTCTTTCAAAAAACTTTTTTATTTTTCTCATATACCTCCAACCAATTAGCCCAATTCAAAACTGTTCCAGAAAGTCCATTCTTTCTTCTCTTACGAATTAAAGCATCACAAAAAGCATTAGAAGCCGCATAGGCACTCTGACCGTGATTCGGATGTAAAGAAGTTAGAGAAGAATTAATCAGAAAATGGACAGGATTTAAATTGTATAGGCTTAAAAAATAAAATCTTTTAAGAAAAAAGTTTTATTTTAATGCCTCAAAAGAGAGTCTATTAAAAGAGCGCCTTCAGCTTTAGGTCCAACAACTTTGGTCAAGGAAGAGGATTCCATGGCAGCCATTGGGGCATTAATTAAGACACCAGCAGAATGTATAATTCCATTTAATTGTTGCATTTCTGGCCTTAAAATTTTTTTTTGTTAAATTTAAAAGTATACAGGAAGAAGGGGGGGAAGGGATTGCCCCTCTTCCTGATTTCTACAAAGAGGATAATTTATTCATAAACAATTCACCGAAAATAATATTTCCGTACCTATATATCAGTTGGGAATCAGGAATTTTAATTTCCGGTTATAAATTTTCGCGAATCTTGACGGCAAGATACCTGGCCTATACCCAATTACTAAACCAAAGACAGTAAAACTGATTAATGCTCATAATTTCCTTACATTTTAAATATTTCTTTCATTCTTTCAACATCGGTAACATCACATAATTTAAGCTCAACGCGGCATTTTTTGCTCATTTGCTTGAAATATTGCCAAAATATATCTTTATCATTGGGTTTAGTCCGTGCCAACAAAATCAAGCAAGTTAATGGAGGAAAGTGTTTAGTTAACCAGTAGGCTATCTAAAATAAGTTTTGATCGGCACTTAGTCTGGAATGATCTGGAACTGGGGTATCTCTATTTATTCCCCATGTCTTTTTTGTTTTAAATTTTACATTATTCATAAAGGTGACAATCAAAACAAAACACCATGACGGTGTTTTGTGTGTGTGTGTTTTCTGATCCATTAAAACGCCCATCTATCGCTATGTAACGAATCTTGTTTCCCGAAAGTTTGTCATCTTTTTTAAGCCAATGAGAGGTCAATAAAAAGTTTGAAAGTCAATGAAAAACTCCCCTTGGTAGAGTATCTTGTTAAAAAATTTATTTAATAAAAGAATCCCACCTCCAATCCAATCCCTTTAGTTCCACCAGTAATAAGCCAAGTACCTTGAGGCATCCAATCATCATTATTACCCAAATTTAATTTTCCCAAAAATTTTTTAAAATGCCATTCAGACAAATTAAGAGAGGTAAAAAACTCAAAAAATTCATTTCCCATCTCAACTTGAAAATTTTGTAAAAATGTTCTGAGGTAAGCAAAAATAGGTGGTTGATCATTCTCTTCATTTGTTATTAATTGTAATATTATTTTTATTTGAAATTTATTTATAATTAATAAAAGGGCACGGCAAAGAAGCAAAATAGCATTGGAATGAATTTTTAATAAATTTATTTTGTCAAAAATTTTGTTGTTTTTTGAATTGTTTAGAAGATTTAAATTAATGGTGAATGTCTGAAAATGAAGATTTTTTTTGTTAATTGGATTGGTCCATTTTTGATAATCCTAAAAGTCAGGGAATCATGAAGAAAATCATTTATCTCTCCCCAAATTCTCTCTCTTCTTTAATATCCCCAGAGAACATTGTTTAAAGTGAATCGGATTATCAAAGGATTTTCAAAAATGCACCAAATTCAACTTGAAAGCTCCCCAAGGAAAGTTATCTAACTAAATATTTTTCTCAGAGAATAAGACTTTTCAAACAATTTAATGATATTACTCGGATGTATGAAGTAAAAGCACTGACTAGGATTGTCGGCTTCAAACCGAAAAATTAGGTGAAACTGACAACCCTTGTTGTCAGAACTCAGGAATCCTAGAATTTCGTTATTAAGTGGGAGCTACATAAACATAGAATGATTGAGAAATTCAATAGAGAAATTCAAATTCAATTTACCTTATCCTTCTCCATTTTTACTCCATTTCCTTGATAAATCATCTCAAAAAGCATCTCCACATTTTCCTCAAATTTTTGATTATTTTTTATATTTTTCATATTTATTGAATGTCTTATTTCCCTTTCATCTTTTCTTTTAATTTTAAAAATAATTTCAAAATTATTTTTATTTGAAATTTCAATCCAAACATTTGGATTTTCATTAGAAGTCTTCCGTGCCGTTTTAAATTCTTCTACAGTAAAAATACATTCTCTAGCGAGTTTAAAATTTTGGGTTTCTTCTTTAGAGACAGGAAGGTCTCTTTCCAAATTTTCTTCATTTTCTTCCTCCTCTTCTTCATCTTCCGTTTCATATCCATCTTCCTCTTCTCTATCTTCATTTTTATTCTGCGCTTCTTTTTCTTCTTCATCTCTGTTTTCTTCATCACAATCTTCAGACTTCCGTTCTTCTTCGAGTTCCTCATCCTCTTCAGCCTCCTCATTATCCTCCTTCTCCTCCTCTTCATTTTTGTCTTCATTTTCACTTTCCCTTTCATTTTCCTCATCATCTTTCCTTTCGTCATTATCATCCTCATCCTCCCTCTTTTCGTCTTCATTGAACTCTTCCTCGTCAGTATCACTTTCTTCATTTTCTTCTCCTTCTTCGGTATCCTCATTATCTTCTTCTTCCTCCACTTCACTGTCTTCCTCTTCGCCATCCTCCTCATTTTCCAATTTTTGGCTAACCAACTCAACCAACTCCTTCGCCCTTCCAATCATAAAAACATCTGCCGGAGTTATTCCAATATTTCCATTAATTTCAAATTTTTGATTCAATGCCTGTGCCAAAGCCATTAAAGAAAGAGAATCCAATCCTAATTGAGTCAATCCCATATCCATCCAATTTAATGGCAATTGAGCTGACGGAAGTGCAGAAATTAAAATTTGTTCAATTTTTTTCGTTAATTCCACGGACTTTTGTTTTGCCGATTTTTGAAAATTAACGAGCGGATTTTGCTTCTAAAAATTTAATTTTTATTATTTCTAGATAAGACAGTTTTTAACAGAGTTAGGACAAAAAACCGTCCTACCAAAAAAACCTCCCCCACATTGAGTAAAATTTCTAGGCATAGGAGTTGTAGCACTGAGCAAAACTAAATAGCCATAGGGTCTAAAGATATTAAAGCAACATAATTCGACATAAATCTAATTCATTTCTCAAAAGTGGAAGAAGTTTTTTACTCTTATATCCGGACGGCATTTTGTTTCAATAGTGCTTTGTCCCATACCCTTTTTTACTTACATTCTTATAATTAATTGATGGCACGGGATTATTCCGAACGCTATCTTGTTTACTCTTCTCATTAAATCCAAAATAAATAATCAACAGAATTTGACTGTTTTTATCATAAACCTTTGCCATTTTATAATTATTTTTGTTGTAAAATCGCAAAAAATATTTGCCATTGCTTCAATTTTGAATTTTTAAATTTATTTTTTTTCTAAATTTAATTTACCTTTTAATTCTTTTTTCTTTTATTGTTTCATTAAATATTTCAATTTTCTTAATTTTATCAAGATGATTTAAATAACCAAAATATTGAGATGCCTTAAGTTTATTTGTTTAATAATTGAAAAATGAATAGATAGAATTTTGAAAAGCTTGAGGCCAGACTCGGTAATGGATACGGATAATATCCGGATATCAGTGGATATGTCATGATAAGGATAACAAAATATGTGTCCATGCTTGAGACCACAAATTGAATTTTTTCTGGACCAGACTTGAAATTATTTTTTCATGCTAGGAATAGGTTGGCAGTTTGATAGAGAAATCCAAAGTCCATGGATAAATATAAATCAATTTTGTCAGGTGTAAGCTAAGGTTGTCCACGATCGGTCAACCGAAAACCGGGGGTCGAAAACGGGCAAATCCGAAAACCGGAGGTATCGGTTAATACCCGGTTGTGCACAGCCCTAATGTAAACCTTTACTTAGCCTCCAAATCCCCCAAAAGACACTTACTTCAAACAAAACATTCTCCACAAATTTTGGACTAAATAATAAAAATTCCTTCTCAACTTCGTCACAATTTAAACATTCTTCTTTTAAAAATTTATCTTCTTTATTTAAATTTAAATTTTTTTCAATTTCTTTTATTTTTGCCAAACAAATTAATTTTTTCTTTTTATTTTTTTCTTCTCCAAATATTTTTATTTTTTTGGAATTTAAAATTTCTGTAATTATCCATTGCTTTTCTTTTTTATTTAAAAATTCGTTAAGACAAATTTCTTCAATTTGGATTGAGAAACATTCCAACTTTAAATTTAGATGGCCTATAGCTGTTAATAATTCAATTAATAAACCAATTAAGTGACAGTCTTTAGAAGAATTGCTTGATGGCTGAAAAAAATTTTTTGATAATTTATTTTTGGGGTTTGTGTGGTATTAAGACTAGAGACCATATTTGAGGAAAGATACTCGAAGATTTGCTTTATTAGCTAATTATCCCTTTACTCACATCCAGCAATAACTTAAAAATGCTGAAAGTATTGGAAATAAGAAGAATCGGAAATTCGAACACATAAAAATAGGGAAAAATTGGAATTCCGATTCACATCCGTTCCATTCACTTATTGGCACCTTAGACAGAGTGGGGTCGGAATTTTCATTTTGGAATTTAGAATTCGAGTTTTAAGTTCCAATGTTCTCACACCTACATATCTCCGAGTCCCGACAAATGGCCAATTCCTATTTCCGACTCTTCTGATTTCCAATTTCCGACTCTTTCAATTTCCGAAACCTCAGGCTTTTCTGGCCTACTTTTCTTTAAGTAGGAGTAAAATAAAATAAAACAGCTGGGCTCTAGCTATTTCTCTCCTTTAACTAGTGCAAAAGGTTATTCGGTGACCAGTAGACCACGCCACCTACTGCACAGCCTTAGGAAATGATTAGCTTACAATAATTTTGCTTTACATGCTTTACAATAATTTTCTTTTAATTCCATTCCTATAATAATTAAAAAATTTTACATTAAAAATAAGCCAAGGCATTCTTTTCTCACACAAAAAAGATTCAAATTTAGAAAAATCATTCCCTCGATCAACACAATTACCCAAAAGAGGATGGCATCCATCATCTTTATTTAATTTAAAATCGTCCTTTAAAGTCCAAAAACGTTTTTGACGGTCAAAAGAATATTTTGGTAATTTAATTAAATTTAATAAAGGCAAATATTTTGTTGGGATTTGGTAAATTTTTGGCCAATTTATGTCCTTTCCAATACAAAAACTGAAAGATATTAATTGCTGTAAATCAGAGGGAGTTTCAATTGAGGCAAATGAATATTCTGGATTTGATTGGTTTGGGCCAATAATTAATTTTGTTGATGAAGTTGATGTTGGTCTGTTGGTTTGTTTGGTGGTTGCTGTAAAAAGATCTGATTATTACTGTAAAAATCATCATTAAATAGACTTAATCATACTCGATTTAAGATACGTTTTAAGGTTTGATTGCCCAATGGGGAGAGTTAGAAAAGAGCATACAGTAAAATCTCCAATAGAATGCACCTCTCCGTTGGAATTCTCCCTTCTAGTAATAAATACTATGTACCAGGGTTGCCGCGGGTACAAAAAATCTTCGGGTACGGGTTTCGGGTATCGGGTTTCGGGTTGGCAAAAATTTCGGGTACGGGTTTCGGGTTGGAAAATTTTCAATTCGGGTATCGGGTTTCGGGTACAAAAAAAGGCCGGGTTTCGGGTATCGGGTTTTGGGTTTCGGGCGGCAACCCTGCTATGTACCCGTTAGGACGCGATTTAATAATTGAATGCCCGGGCATTCTATATGAGATTTTACGATGCTCTCTATTTAAAATACCCCTTTTTATAATAGATGTTTTCCTCAGCTAACATGTATTTTATAGCGTGGCCAACTTAAGTTAGGCCGGATCACTATTTAAATTAGATTTGAAAAACTCCTACTATATTCCTCTTCAATATTACTCTTCTTTTTTATTTCCTCAATACATCTAATAATTTTATCTTTTGTGAATTCATTTTCTTCTTTCGCCCAAATTAATTCTCTAAATAAATTAATTGCCAAATTATCCCTTTTATTAATTATTTCATCTTCTTTTCTAATTATTCCAAATTCTTTTAATATTTTAAAACGTCCGAAAGCATCAGCCAATTTAATTATAGAAGGATTATTAATTTCTTTTAATTGTTTATTTATTCCCAATTTATTTAGAATTAATTGTAAAGCTTCTTTATAGGCCGGCACTTTCTCATACAATGTCCAAGCAATTTTAGGCCAAAAACCGAGACGATAATTGATGGATGTGAGGGCGTCCTGATAAATTATTTTGACTATCGTAGTGGATTTTTTGAAAGAAAAATTGGGAAAATATTTTCGAAAAATATTTTTGCGGACAATTTTTGCGGACATAATTTGCGGACACTAACACTTGTCCGCAAATTTTTTGCGGACAAAAAATTAAGAGATAATTGCTCCTAAAAGGAAGTAAGCTCAATTATTTTCGTAGAATCAACCTTAATAATTTTTAAAAATTTTAAAGACCTTTCTAACAATAATAGGTTCCTCCTCCAATACTTCACTAGACCCATCCACGTCAGGAAGGATTATAACAGCCCTCACATTTAAAGGAGGGTTTTTAACATTCTTCCCTCTTAAATAACTTGCTGCCACACAAATTTCATTGAAATTCCATTCTTTCTCATTCTTCAAAAATTTTAAATATTTTTCCAAAAATTTTTTTATTGAATTTTCTGAATGAGTGGATAAGGGTAATATTCTCTGCCACTTTTTAGAACAATGCTGTTTTAGTTGATAATGTAATTGTTGAATTTGTTTTGTTTTTATTGACCGATCTAATGAAATAATGGCACAAGCTATAGTTCCAGACACTCCAAAGGAGCTTACGCCGGTTAGCAGTGTGTGCTTAAAGGAAATTTCTTTAAACATACGATGGGACCGTCTATAAAGATCCAGCCTTTTTATGGGATCCACTAGAGAGAGGTATCAAGGAACTCTCAATGGGATGGAGAATGTTCTCTGCCAATTGTCGAATGTCCCAATGACTCTCAACTACTCGTCCACATAGCTACGAAGGCAAATAAGCTCCAAAGGGCAGAGGAAATCTACGATAGTCTCTCTCTCTCCTAAAACAAAATCCTTACTTTATCTTCTCCTTCCTTCAATATTCCAGTGGATTTTTTAACTGCTAGGCGAACAGGCCAATTATCATTCTCATAATCTCCCCAGCCATTAGCTTCCATTCCTCGAACAATTTCAGGATTTATTCTTTTAAAATTAGGTAAAGGAGGCATTTCGGCATTTTTTAATTGTAGCACAGCCTAACAAAAATTATTTAAAATTTTTCTAGGAAATTTATTCCCTCGCCTTCATAACACCCACAAGACCAGAAGCAGCCTCGGTATGTCCAATATTTGCTTTTGCAGTCCCAAGCCAGACCCCTTTAGTTAATCCACAAGAATTCAAAGACTTGGCCAACGCTAAAAACTCCACAGGATCGCCAAGTGCCGTTCCAGTCCCATGACACTCCCAACAGCGAAGAGAACATTTCTTTTCTGGATTTAGCTGTTCTAGGCATCTAACCAGTAATTGTTGCTGAGATAGGCCGTTTGGGGCAGTTAAGGCTGCGCTACGGCCATCATGTCCACATTCAACTGCCTTTAAATATTTGATTGGACTTTGAGCTTTAAGTAACAAAAAATTGCCTCAATAACCCCCCAATGAGGTTTTCCTTCCAAATTTTCTATAGGAACACTCTCTATCATCAATACAACACAACCATCAGATCGGCCATATCCATTAGCATCAATACCAAAAACTCGACAGCAACCGTCTTCTGATAACATTCCAGCGTTTGCACGTTGTGCTATTAAATTTATTTTCCTTCAAGTATTGCCTAAAATATTTACCCAATCCCTTAGCTGTGAGGGTTAAATTAACTCCTCCAACTATTGCTCTAGGACATCGCCCAGTTGTAATTGCTTCTACTGCCAATTGTAAGGCTACAAGTGAGCTAGAACAGGCTGTGTCTATAGAAAGTGTTGGGCCTCTAGAAAATATTTTTTAAAGAAAATCTCCAAAAAATTGCCTGCAATCCAAAAAATGTGCCAAACGTCCAGAAAATGCGGATGCCGATGTTCCCAACATTTGAAGCGCGTTGCCTTGTTGTTCAGACAAATCTGGGTATTCATTACTCATAAATCCAATAAAAACTCCACACTGCTCCAAGTCCTTTGGGGAATTAAAGCCTGCCTGTTCTACACATTCCCAAGCACATTCTAGCAAGAGGCGTTGTTGAGGGTCTAATGCAGATGCTTCCAAGGCTGAGAGCCCGAAGAAATTGGCGTCAAAACGGGCCAAATCAAAATTAAGAAAGTGGCCACCCTCAACTATAAAATTTGTAAATTTTTTGGAAAGTCTGCAAATTTCGTCCGCAACAAAAATTATCATTTGCGGACACAACTTGCAGACAAATGTTTAATTTAGTTGTCCTTATAATTTGAATATTTTTACCTGGAACATTTCCTCCATTAAATTCCCCTCGAATAAGGGAATTCCTTTCAGCTATTCGAGTGGCTGGTATTCGTTGGTTAGTAAATCTACCCTCCTTGAGTAATACCCAAAACTGGTCTGGAGAGCTGATCTTACCAGGCAATCGGCAAGCAATTGAACTTATTACAACTTCAATGTCTTTTTTCTTAATTTAGAATTTTTTTGTTAAATTTGGACCTTCCTTTGATTCAGTTTACCCCAGCTAATGATGTCCTTTAGTATTTACTGAGAGTTATCTGAGACTGGGAGATCATCTATTTTAAGTAGAGACCAGAAAGAGACGAGATCTCGATTGAAAATCTCGGTTAGCGAGAGAGATCTTGATTCTCGTACAGATTTTTCAGGATTTCGATCGAGATTTAACGAGATGTATCGAGATCGTCAATTGTTCGCAATCTCTATTCTCATACGTCACTCCCAGTCAGAGTTGCGTCGTAATTGAAAATTTTTTTTCGTAATCGTAATTCGTAATTTTCAAAAAAATTTCGTAATCGTAATTCGTAATTCGTAACTGAAAAAACACCGTAATTCGTAATTCGTAATCGTAATTCGTAATTACGACGCAACTCTGCTCCCAGTCCGGTCTCTAATTCTAATTTTAATGTGTACTCCGTTCCTAAAAATAATTAACGTACGGCTCTTAACGATAATTTTTTAAATAATTCCCAGACTAGAAACTTGTATCTATCGTTACATACCTCCTCCATTCGACCCTCTGGGATACAATTCTACCCTCAAATACCCCATAAAAACTCATTTTTAACATCAAATTAACTTACATCAGAATCAAAATTATTATCAATTTTCATTTCAATCTTATCTATTTCCCCAATATCCAGCTTTCTAAAAAGCAAATCTTCTCCAAACATCAAAATCTCTTCTCTATTATTCCTTCCTTTTTCTTCAATCCAAAAATTTCCCCTTGCCATTCCTTCATCCAGTTTAATTGAAAAATGCATTCTTAAAGCCGTTTCATCTTCCAACTCATTCGTTAACAATCTTGGGCCAACATAAAGCTTTCCAATTGAAAAAGGGACTAGAAGGTGTTGCTGTTTCTTTTTTGATTTTTTCTGAATTTTTTCAGAATTAATTTTTGTTTTTGTTTACATGTGTTTAGGCGCGGCGATAATGCTTAGTAGAGCGCTTATAAGTGCCTGAAGAATTGAAGTTAAAATCTTTAAATTTTGCAAAGATTTCTTAGACATTGTCAACTAATTTTTTCTCTATCAATTTCAGAATTTTAAATTTATTATTTCTCAAGTTCTGATAAAGAGATCAACAAAATCAACGAAGTTTCCCCGAAAATTCAACTTTTTCACCCATATTTTCTGAAATTCTCAACCAAAAATTCTGAAATTTTAACACAAGCTAAATAAATGTATTAATGATGTTAGTGCAAAATTTCACAAATTTAGATCTTCTATAGACCATTTTATAGGAGCGGAAGCAAGCGTTGCTCATATACCCACACAGGCAATAGTTTAAAAATTAAACTTTTTTTCCTATTTTAAAGTTAATTTTCTAATTTCACCTCCTTCCCATTTTCCTTCAAAAAACAATAAACCATTGCTTGCCATAAAGCATCCAATTTAATATCCAATTCCCCAACTTTCTGAATTACTTCACAACAACCCCAAGCCTTTAATTTCCCCATTTCAAAGCCTATACCATAATTAATTGACTCAACACTTTTAAATGATTTTCCAAAATTATAACCACATTCTTCAATTAAAAATTGGTAAAAATCTTTGTGATTAATAGTAAATGGAAAGGGAGGGTTTGGAGGGAGGGGAATATTTTGGTTGTTTAAAGGTGAAGTTAGTTCAGCAAGAAAAACATCTTTTTGATCTTCTTGAAGGCAAATCTTTAAAAAATAATTTAAACTTTTTTAATCTAAAATGCCCTTAGGGCATCTAATTTTTAATTACCTATCAGAGATGTCATGGGTTACCAGAAAACCGATATCTGACCTTTTTTCGACTCGATACCCGATATCCAAAAAATTTTTTTCTTAACCCGATCCGAAGAAAAATTTAAAGACCTGACCCGAAACCCGACATTTTTCTCAACCCGTGACATCCTTGTTACTTATAATTTTTTTAAGAAAGGATAATTGTGGATATAAATTTAGGGATAAACATTTGCGGACATTCGCCAGTGTCCACAAATGTCATTCCGCAAATTTAGAACGCAAATATCACCTCTCAAAAATACATGTCTTTTAAAAATAACTTTTTGATGTTTACTTCAATTAAAATAAATCTTATATTATCCAAAGGCCCTCTATAAGAGGAATCTTTTTTTCCAACTTAATGGATCAAGTCTGATCACTCGTTAGATAACCTGATAAATGTGAAAAACACAAAATAACTGGACTTATAGTGTTATAACTTTTTAATGAGTGATCAGACTTGATCTATCCTACCGCTTATGAAGGGCTTTCGAATGATATAAGATTTATTTGGATTGCATCAAACATCAAAAAGATTCCGCTGGACTCAGTCTGTGGGCGTATAAGCGATAAGTTATTTTTATTTTTAAAAAAAGTTTAAATTTAAGTTTTAAAAAAATTTATGATTTACCTTCAATTCATTATCATCTTCACTAGAATTTTTAAAAATAATTCCAAGTTCAACCACATCTCCAACCTCCTCATTAATTAATAAGGGTTTTAAAAAACATATATTTTTTAAAATTAAAAAATCCTCTTTATTTTTATTTTTTAATAATGCCCAAATAAATTCTAGTAAAATAGTAGAGCCGGGCAGAACAGAATTTTTGTGGTTGCCGAAAGGGCGATGATCAAACAAATAATTTTTAATTTTAATAAAAATATTTTTTTGGTAAGTATTCATTTTTTATTAAATTTTTATTTTTTATTTTTAAAAATTATTGGAAATTTCGAGAAAAATATAAAAATGTCCAAAAGGAAGGGAAAACATTTTTATTAAATTTGAGGACAATTTTTCCTCTTAACTGATCCATTTTTTTAAAATTACAGCTAATTTGGTCAAGATAATTTTCTTTTTATTTTTTATTTTATTTTTGATGTCTGGAAATATTTAGAAAATGTCTGGAAAATATATATTTTATTTTAAATTGTCTATTAAATAGTCAAATTTCTCCTTTGTATTTATCAGGGTTTGCATTTCGAATTTTTAAAAATCGCAACTTTGAGAAAACTTGAGAAGCTAAAAAAACAACAATTACATGTAAATACTCTATATCAGACAGATAGTCCATTCCTTAGTAGACAGATGGGGTCCATTCCGTTTTTTTGAATATTAAAAGGTCAGATAATCTCTCATAGCAACCGAATTCACTGTGATTCAATTTTTTTCCCTTTTTTCATTCCCGAAATTATTATTTAACAAAAAAATTTTTCCCAAAAATATCTTTATCCGATAATAAAAAATTTAAATAAAAAAATAAACAGGCACTCTCGGAGCGCAAAATATATCAATGGATAGTCAATCAAAAATTACTCAGGAAAGGTTGTGTTTGAGAAAATAATTCGAAATAAGGCATCAGGGAATACAAGCCGATTCGATTTTCAAAATTAGGAGATCCTGACGTTCTTTTGTTAATGAATTTATTTCTTGTGTTGGCAGGAGTTATGGATTGGTAAGAGAAAAGTTGAGGTTTCATATCAGGATTTAAAAAAAAAATTTTCTAGTCTGGTTTCGGGTAAAAAATGGCCTGATTTCGAGTAATGGTAGAATCCTTTGTGTTTATTTTAAACAAAAAATACAAACTTCCAACAACCTTTCCTGAGTAATTTACATTTTTAAATGAGTATTTACAGTTTAAAAAACATATCCGATAATAAAAAATAAAAAAAGGCACTCTTTAAGAGAAGTGCAAAATTTTTGATTAGATAATCAATCAATTTTCTCAATTTTTGTTTTTAAATAAATCCACAAAATCAAAAATTCCAAAACCAAAATAAAAAATAAATCCCCAAAAAAATAAATTTAAAAAAATAAAGGGCTGCCGCTTTTAATAAATTAATAAAATTAAATCTAAGTTTTGTTTATAAACTTATAGTTTCCACTAGCGTCAAAAAATTTTTTTTTGATATTTTTTTAAAAACTTAAAAATTTCATAAAATAATTTTCGAAATTAACTCAAAATAAAAGAGAATTAAACCAGATAATGGGAAGTCCAAAAAATTTAACTGAAAGAAAATTAAATGTCAATAACCTGTTTGAATAACCCTATTTAGTATATGTAAATAGCAGCCCTTTTTACATAAAATAAATTTATAAAAAAATTTAACTCAAATAAATCCAAAAAAACTGGTCAGCTTACATCTTTTGCCTGACAAAATCTTCCACCAAATCACTAAAGATTTTCCAAAAATTTCAAAAACTTGTCTTTCATCGGTTTATCTTTGTAAATTTTAAGAATTGCATTTCTCATATTTTTGGCTTTCTTACTATATTCACTTTTAAAAGTAAGCTTTGTTTCATTATCATAAGATATTTGATTAAGCGCTTCCTTAAGAGCAAAAATAAGATTTTCATCAGAAAAATCCAAATATTTGCCAATTCCTTTTTGTTCAACAGTCGAAGCAATATACATTTGCTCTTCAGTCAGTGGAATACAGATTATTGGAACACCAGCATAAATTGCCTAAAATTTTTTTTAAAGAATAAGCTTCAAATTTTTGTTCCAAGGTTTCCCAATACTAGTTTAGAGGCCGATAGTTATTGAACGATAATATTATGCATACAATACCTCGTTAACACTATTTTGTTCACAATGTGAAATGAACACTCTTGTGTCTGGATTTGCTGAAAGTAAAAATAAATTAGTTAATTTGTGAATAAATATATACATAAAATTTCATTCCGTGGAAGAGTATCTTCTTCAGTATAACCAGTAAAGAATTTAAAATTTATAGCTGCTCGAACATGAAAATAACACGTAGGAAAATATTCTTTAGATACTTTTCTAATCATTTCGTAGATTCGATATTTTCCTATATATTCCAACTTTCCAAAGCTGACAAGAACATGACAGTCCTTAAAAATTTATCTGTGTTAGAAAAAGCGGCACACCCCCAAAATAAGTTATTGAGTATAACACAGGATATTAAAAAATATTGGGTGGTGTTCCTCGTTTTCTGAGAATAAATTTGCAAATTCGGCAATTGGGAATTTTCATTTTTTTTTCAATTTCCGATTTTGAGAATCGGGGAAATTTTAAGTAATTATTTATTTTCGGGGATCGGAAGTAAATGTAGTTTTTAATTAAAATTGAGTGGAAGTATGCTGGGTCCATTCTAAAACCAAACCTAGGCACAGTTAAACCATTATAATCCCTAAGGATAGCTTGTGGGTTGGCCAGACCCAAGCTTAACCTTTACCACTGAGCCACACCGGTGTGCTTCTCCTTAGGGGCACATATTAAAAGACTCTTTAACTGGGAACTGATTTATCGGTGAAGCAATAAACAATATATAAACATAAGCATGTGAATGAGAGGTGACACAGGAAATAAAGATAAATAATAATTATAGTGTAATGGTTGGGAAAATCCATTAACACATATTGCTCATCCAAAAGATCACCTGTGCTTAGGCAATCAACGGATATACCTTACATTAATTTACAGATATATATTTTAAATATGAGCTTTCCAACCTCGTCGTTTACTCCCTTTTTTTCTTCAATTAAAAGTTTGTTGTATTCAACAGTAATACCACCAATATAAACAATTTTTTCGTGGTCAGGAAAATTGTTAAATTTAATTAAAGGATGTTGATTTATAAAATGATATTTAATTTTTTTAAATAAAACATCCAAAGTTGATGGCATTTTGATAGATATTTCATAGTCATCAAACAAGGAATTATAAAAGTTTTGAGATGTTGTAGTGAGAAGCTCCTGTACTCGTTTGTTGCTTACTCCATGTTCATTTTTATTATCTTCTTCACATTTGTACCATTTTCCATCTCTATCCCATTCCTCAGGTTTAGCAGCGGCGAAGGCTTAACAAAAATAAATTTTCAAATTCCTTATAAAGTTGGGTTTTTTTCATATTTTGGAATTTTTCGTTGCATATCTGGGCAGCCCTAGATATGACAGTCGATTCACCATATGGGGAAAATATTTTAAAGGATATTTAGAACTGATAATTCGGATTTTTTTTGAAATTTTACTTCGTCTCACAAAATTCTTCTTTAAATTAATTATTAATAAAACATTACCAGGAACTTGATACTCCAAAACATTAATATCAAGGAATTGAAGATATTCTGGAGGGAATACAGAACTGAAAACATTAAATGTTTCTTCAATTCCCAATGCTTCAAAAACAGCAAAAGCACCAGCCGTTACATTAAACTCAGCTATTCCAATATCATATTTATTTTTTTGAAGCCGATCAAGAATCTTTTTTTGATGTGTCATTAACTCTGTAGAAATGAAATATTTAAATTTTATTTTTAATTATTTTACCTCTATAAATTCCTATAGAAAAATACATTTCTACTTGGAAGTTCTTCCATAATTCTTTATTTATTGGAATATAAATAATTTTTAAATTTCCTAGTTTTACTGTTTCTTGCCAAGTTCCCGTGTAAACTAGCATATCCTGGAATAAAAAAATAAAAATATTGAATATCAAATTATAGGAAGTTAACCAAAT